CAAGAGGGACATTTTCAGCAGGAATGCCCGTTCATGGATTGGAACTATAGGCAAGTCTGGGTTGCCGGCCAAAGAGCCCGGAAAAGGGGGCCGGGAAAGTTAGTGGTCCCTGTGTGGGTCGAAGGGACCTCCACGAATGCCCTTGTGGACTCGGGATGCAGTCAGACCCTCTTGTGGGAGGGGCTGGTTCCTGACCTTAGACTCTCAGGGGAACAGATACACCTACAGTGTGTACATGGGGACATCTGCCCTTACCCCACAGCCTGAGTGAGGATTGAGATTAGCCAGCGGGAGGAAATCCTCCACATGGGCATGGCCCACAGATTGGCCTACCCCGTAGTGCTGGGGTGAGACTGGCCAGAATTTAGGGAGGTCCTCCAGCAGTATCAACCCCCCGCTCCACAAATGGAAGGGGCTACGCCTGCAGGGAGGGGATTGCTTGGACGCACACCAGAGTCCGACCCCGGGGAAGGGACATCTACGGCGGGGAAGGTGCCTGCCAACGCCCAACAGCCGTCCGTGGAAGACGTGCAGGCAGAGCTGGAGCAAGATATTGATTTTGTGAGGGAGCAAAGAGAAGACCCGACCCTGAGTAGGGCCTGGGAGCAGGCCACCGTCCCTGACCCCGGAGAGGACACACCTCCGAGACCTCTGCAGGGGCCCTGGTTTGAGATCTGGCGAGATCGCCTATATCGGGTGGTGCAGGAACCACAGACACCTGAGCTGCTCCATTAGCTGTTGGTTCCCCGGAGGTTGCGACGAGGCCTCCTACAGTTAGCGCATGCAAAACCCTGGTCAGGACATCTGGGGCGGGAAAAGACCCTTCAGAGGGTGGCCCGCCGATTTTTTTTTTTTTTTTTTTTTGGCCCTGCATTCACCAAGAGGTCTGGGTTTATTGTGCGACTTGCCTGGAATGCCAGCAGGCCGGACCGAAGGGTGTACCCCGAGCACCGCTAATACCCCTGCCCGTGGTCGGTGTACCCTTTGAACGCATCGGAATGGACTTGGTTGGACCCTTAGAAAGAAGTAAGACGGGGAAATCGCTTTATTTTAGTGATCATGGACTACGCAACATGTTGCCCCGAGGCTGTTCCCCTCCGAGCTGCCACGGCGCCGGTGATTGCCGCCAAACTTGTGAAGGTCTTCGCTAGGGTCGGGATACCCATGGAGATCCTGACTGACCAGGGTACTAACGTATCCTCTAAACTAATAGCAGAGCTGTGCTGCCTCCTGAATATACAGACACTCTGAACATCGGTTTATCATCCACAAACAGACGGTCTAGTGGAGCGTTTTAATGGTACCCTGAAGTCCATGCTGCGGAAGTTCGTGGAGGAAGACCCCAGCCCTTGGGATACAGTATTGCCAGCCCTGTTGTTTGCCATAAGGGAGGTACCCCAAGCATCGACCGGGTTCTTGCCTTGTATGGCAGGCAGCATCGATGGATCCTGGACCTCCTGAGGGAAGACTGGGAGGCACAGGAGACGTGAGTACTCGGGACCACCCAGTATGTGCTACACCTCCGAGAACGGCTCCGAACCTTGGGGGCTTTCGCCCGGGAGAACCTGCTGCGAGCCCAAGAGACGCAGGAGCCCAAGAGACGCAGGAACGGATATATAACAGAGGGGCTAAGGTACGGAGTTTCGACCCTGGGGACCCTCGGCCGAATCAAAGCTCCTGGCCAACTGGCAGGGGCCTTACGAGGTGACCCGACAGGTCGGGCCAGTAGATTATGAAGTCCAGTTGCTTGGACAACGGAGGGACACCCGGACATACCATGTGAATCTATTGAAGGCCTGGAAGGCCAGGGAGGCCTTATTCATCACCCCATCGCCCCCGGACCCAGAACTTGGACCACTAGCCAGGGAACCCCTAGACCCAAGGCCGGCTACGCTCGGGACTGGCCTCACCATGGCTCAGCAGGAGCAAATATCGCGGCTCATAAGAGGATTTCCCCAACGTTCTATCAACCCGTCCGGGACAAACCAACCTTATGAGCCATCATATCGCAATGACACCCGGTCAGAGAGTGAGGGACAACCACTGACCGCTGCCCTGGAAGATGTGGGCCATAGTACAACAGGAACTGGATATGATGCTTGAGATGGGGGGTAGTTGAGGAGTCAGAGTGAATGGCGCAGCCCAATCGTTCTGGTTCCAAAACCCGACGGGACCACCCGATTCTGTATCGATTTCTGGAAGGTTAACGCTGTCTCTCGGTTCGACGCGTACCCAATGCCCCGGGTGGAAGAACTCCTAGAACGACTTGGGGGAGCGAGGTATTTGTCAACCCTAGATTTAACCAAAGGGTACTGGCAAATCCCTCTTACACCAAACTCCCGGGAAAAGACCGCCTTCCCGACACCATTCAGCCTCTTCCACTTTGTAACCATGCCGTTCGGGCTACACGGAGCCGCAGCGACTCTTCAGCGGCTGATGAATAAGCTCTTGCTGCCTTACAATCGATATGCAGCAGTGTATATAGACGACATTGTGGTCTACAGTAACAACTGGAAGGACCACCTCCGACACCTCACTGGGGTCCTCCAGTCCCTTAGAGCAGCCAACCTCACAGCCAACCCGGCCAAATGCCATCTGTGACAGGAAGAGGTGACCTATCTCGGGTATGTAGTAGGGGGAGGGAAATTACGCCCCCTAATCAATAAGGTACAAGCCCTTATGGATACACCCATGCCCAAGACGAAAAAAGAGGTACGCCAGTTTTTGGGACTGGTCGGGTACTATTGCCGCTTTGTACTGGACTTCGCGTCCATAGCTGCCCCCCTTTCAGACCTGACGAAGAATTCTCAGCCGCGACAGGTGCAGTGGTCTGACCCATGCGACAAGGCCTTCAGGACTCCGAAAGAACGTCTCACACAGGAACTGGTCCTGCAACACCCTGATTTTTCAAAGGAATTCATACTCCAAACGGATACTTCAGAGGTAGGCTTAGGGGCCATACTCTCCCAAGAACTGGAAGGGGAGGAACACCCAGTACTGTACCTGAATCGCAAATTATTTCCTCGAGAACAACACTACTCAACGATAGAGAAAGAGCCCTGGCCGTGAAATGGGCTATTCACGCCCTGCGCTATTATCTACTGGGGAACACCTTCAAACTGATCACTGACCATGCCCCCCTCAGGTGGATACACAGCATGAAGGACGTGAACCCCCGAATCATGCGCTGGTACCTGTCGCTACAACCATACGACTTCGCGTGTTTCATCATCCAGGTAAGACTCATGCTAACGTGGATTTCTTTTCTAGACAGGGAGGTGAGGAAGGGGAGATGGACCGCCCCTGGGGGTCCTTCTTACAGGGGTGTGTGTGTGACGGGGTCTGCTTACCCCGCACTAGCCCAGACAGGGTTAAGCCCATGTTATTGACAGCAGAAGTCCCGCCCCCCTGGCAAGACTGGGCATGCTCCAAATGCTCTAGTAGTATAAAGGGAGGGAGCCCAGCTCATTCTGGGCTGGAGGCTGCAGGGGAAGGACTTGCCTGGGAAGCGCCTGCGGAGGGCCAGCCACAGCCCCTGACTGCACCGGGAATCGAAGCTGTCCACGGCCTGCCTGCACCCCGGCCACTGGAGGAACCCTTGGAGACGACTGGCCCTGCCGAACACAGAGGGCCCGACATCTCATGGGAAACCCCAAAACAGACTGGTAGGAAGTGACCAGGGAGGGTGACGGAGTGGTACTTCCCCCTGGGGAAACTCAGCGTGTTTCGGTAGGACCCCCTGCTGAGTCAGTAGCAAGCCGCTACGCCACTGTTAGGCCTCTGGGTCGGGGCCCGGTGGAGTTGGGTGGGCCCGGGCCCCCCTACCAGGGCTGCCCCACCCTATAAGGGGCACCCCAACGCTATAGCCTCTGGCCGCTAGGCCACGCTGCCCTGCGCCAAAGGGCTGCTTTATAGACTCCGGCCGTTAGGCCCCGCTGCCCTGCATCAAAGGGCGGCTCTATAGATTCTGGCTGCTAGGCCATGCTGCCCTGCACTGAAGGGCTGCTTTATAGACTGTGACCGACGGGCCACACTGCCCTGACCCTAGGGGCGTGGACCGTCACAGTCTGTTTTAAACATATAACTATTTCTATCCAAATATATTGTCCATTTAACCAAAGTTTTTTTTAGATGCTTTTTGTTAAAGAAGCAAAACAGCATTAGGCCTTAGTGTTCCAGGAACCAGTGTTACCCTTAACCAAAAAGTAATTTAAAATGTAACTTGTGTCTAGACCCTTATTACCAAAGGCTCTCTTATCATCATCGCATACTAATGGCTTGCTTGAACTCTGTATCCAACTTGTAGTTTTATTTATTCTTTATTAAAACAAGTATTTCCACTACATCCATGGAACTAAATGGGTTCCATTTAGTTGTTAATTTTAGCTAGGCAGTTTTAGACATAAAGTTTCCCTTTTTCTTTTCTAAATTGATATTGTGTTTATTAAATTACTACTAAAAGTGATCAGAAAATGTAAAATCCCTCAAATTGAACAGCTTTATTATAAACCCTTAAATGCCACAGATAACCAGGATGAGAGGGGCAAGTGAACTAAATTCAAAATTGATTGACTGGTTCATATTAAAAAAAAAAATGGCCCTGACATTAACCAGTTGGTTAGCTCTCCATTGATGAGTTCAAAGGTGGATGTGACATCACTGGCAGAGGATGTGCTTGGGCCTTAGAGTTGCAGTTGAGTTGGGATGTGATATTGAATAGCAGTTAACATTTGTCAAAGCACCATTTTGAAGAGAGGATGCTATGCAATAGGAAGGGAATACTGCAACAGAAAAGGATGGAGCTGGGAACAGAGAGGGAGCATCCCATATTATTTGTTCAACATCTCATTTGTACTTGAATGAAGAATTTGATGGTAAGTTGGGGAAAGGAACTTGAAAATATACACAGTTGAAAACGCAAATAACAGTTATGGAGAGCAGCTAGTCATGTAGTGATGATGACGATGATGTTAAGATACATTACTCTCTCCCCTCTACAGGTGCCTGAAGGAAAGGTGGTAGTTCTGTCTTTTAGATACATAGACTTGGAAAGTGACAACTTGTGCAGATATGACTTTGTGGATGTTTACAATGGTCATGCCAATGGACAACGTCTGGGCAGGTTCTGTGGTACTTTCAAACCAGGTGCCCTTGTGGCCAATGGCAATAAGATGTTGGTACAAATGATTTCAGATGCGAATACAGCTGGAAATGGATTCATTGCTATGTTTTCTGCAGCAGAACCACATGAAAGAGGTAATTTACAACTATGCAGATATTAAAGGCAAACATTCAGAGGCTGTGCTAGCCCATCGGGGGCCCTAAGCAGGAATATTTCTGGGGCCACACCTTACCCTTCACCCATCCCCTAAAAATACTAATTGCATTATTTCCGCAAACCAAAAAATATACCAACACATCATATGCTAATATACTTGTTAAAAAGTGCATGTTAAAGAAGATGAATGGTATTTTGGAAATAATACTCAATGGGGGCCCTAAGCAACTGCTAAGTCTACTTATGCCTGGCGCCACCACTGCAAACATTATCTTGTCTTTTATAGAATGTACTTATACTTTGAGGCCAAAGGAACTTTTAAAGTTAAAGTAAGGTTTCCTACTTCTTTGAAAGTTATAACATCCAGAACCCTGCATCCTTGGTACTGAAAAGATACAATAATGAAGAAGCTGCACACTTGTGTTATAGTCAAGGATAATGTATTCACCACAGTATTTGGGGCTGGGAGGAGGAGAAATGAAGCCCTAGACTGGCACTTTAAAAAAAGAAGTCTTCATTTTTGTTAAGTTAGAAAGGTGTTTTTTTTTTCCTTTTCACTTTCAGTCATGGATATTGACTCCTGTTAGGCACAGATGCCAATTCCTAAGCTTTTCTCTCACCCTCAATTTTGCCATGGGGGAAAATAGTTTTAATTTCGTAGTCTGGGGACAAGGGAGAATCTTTTGATCAGCAAAGTTAAACTTAATACACTATCATGGATCTTACAGAAAAATTATAGAATATGTTAAAGTCTCTACAAAGTAAAGAGACCAGCCACAAACAGTTTTTAGTTTCTTTACTATGGACAAAATCCTCCCCATGGGCACGGAGGGCCCTAAATGCAGTGGAACTAGCAGGGTTATGTTGCACAAAATGGTGTTGCTGCAGAGAGGCTATGCAGTGGTCTCTAAAACCCCTTACACCCTGTGAAGTATTGCTGTGTAGTGGCTCTGGAGAAAAGTGTTCAGTGAGCTGTATCTTCAGCTACACGTACCTACAGAGGAAGAACTTCAGGCTGAGAGCATTTTCTATGGGTCCCATCTGAGAACCCCTACACAAAAGCTTATTTCCTTTGGCTACACACAGGAGTTGGGAATTTGGCTGTAGTGGAACAGCTGTATTAAATGCATTACACACATGCCCTATGCTTTTGGTCAGTATGTTATGTTTTGTATTTCTAGGGGATCAGTACTGTGGTGGACGACTAGACAAGCCTTCTGGGTCCTTTAAAACTCCTAATTGGCCAGATCGAGATTACCCAGCAGGAGTCACTTGCTCATGGCATATTGTAGCCCCAAAGAATCAGGTGAGCTTTGGTATCTCTTTTAACAGTTACCCACAAAAGTTAACATGTAGGTTGGCAATTTATAATAGTTACTTTGATACTTCATTATGCTTCCTTTTTTTTGTTGTTGCCCAGGTTTCTGCTCAATAATCTGTATCATGGCAGGGAGTACACAATGATTGAGGCATGTTTGATAGGTTACTTTTCATAACTATGTTAGCTTCCCAACATTCTTTTATATGCCACCCAGACTTTCCTATTAATCTTCAGTGCATGACCATAATCTTCCAAATGAGAAAGCTGTCCCTGATAAATGTATTCTTCAGATCATTAATTCTTTTCCATTTACCAAGGTTTTCCCCCCTTGAACTAGAGGCTGTACATCAGCTTAGTCTTTCCTGTATTCATCTTTAATCCACATTCCTTGCTTGCCATGTACAGGTCATTTAGCAATCTATAGCTAGGCAGTGATTTTAACAATATTATCTGTAAATTGCAGATTACTTTGATGCTTCCCATTTATCTCCAGATGAGCTTGAAAACTTTCTACAAGCTTGTAGTGAAAACTTAGGACAGGATTTTCCTTTTGAATTCTTATTCTTGAGATCCTGTCCCCAGGAATGTTTTAAGCGTCCAAATAGACATATTTTCTATAGATTTCCATAGTGCTTCTCTCAGTGCTGTATAGTTTCCAATGAATTAAGGGCTTTTTCTCACCCACAAAACCAAGTTTTGTATTATTCACCACTTTTCCTTTTGGCTAGCGAACGTGAAGGTGTTCTACACTAAAAACAAGCCATTCAAAGATTCACCAGTCCACTGGGCATATTTTCTATATAGATAGGGTTTCTACCTTTTTATTAGACAAGGACTCAATCAAGCCACACCCATTTCCCTTCCAAATCAGCATATTACCATTAAGGCAAGCCATGCTCTAATTTAGACCAATAATTGTTTTGTTGAGCTCAGTAAATAGGTTCTCCTCTATGGTGGCCTCTCCTCTCCTTCCATTTTATCATTAGACTTTCTGACTGAACAGCAAGATGCCCATATACAACACAAGGAAGCAGACTAGACATTCTGTTGCTTTCCTGCATACATAAATTTTGTTTTTATTCCTTCACCATTAGTTCTGTCTTCTGTTTTGTGTCCTTTTTTCTCCTCCATTTGCTCTACCCACTATTTGCTACCTTGTCTACTATCCCCCTTTCCTTCCCCAATTACTCTCTTCCCCTTATTCTTCTCATGTCTGTTTTGTTTCCTCTAGTACCTCCCTCTCTCCCCACCATCCAAGCCAGTGTCTTTCTTCTGTATGCTCCCCCATTTTCCTTTTAACTCCATTTGCCCCACTCCCAGCTGCAGCCAATTGAGATTCTGAACCAGAAGACCATGAAAAAGAAGCAGCCACTTGAGCAACACCAGTGAGGGTCCAGTGGAAAAAAACAAAAACAATCTTCATATCTTTTATCCCCTTGGTCAAAAAGTGCAGATTGTAGTAGTTATAGTAGTAGAGATCCCCCAGCAGATAAATAACAGCAAGTAATCCCCATATTTTAGATCTCTGCTTCACTTTTTTTTTTTTTTTTTAAATAGCACATGCATCATTAAAGGATGACTCGCTGGAATCAACTCTACAGTTACATAGTTTTACGTATTGCTGAAAGGTGCTTGATGGGTCCAATATAAGAACCTAAGTAGACAGCACAACTTGATAATGCATTCCACTCAGTTATTGAGCAACTAAATTGCTATCTAGTTGAATATGGATTCATTTTTTGGTACATCTACATAACTAAATCTCTAAAATATACTATCAAAGTAATTCTTCAGCATAGTAAGATCCATATATGCTACAATGGGTCTTCTGCCTACTTGCAGCTTTGGGGTTGAACTCACACCTGTCAGTCACTGGCTGAAGGATATCTCTCTGCTGTTAATTACTGGGTTAGACCATAGTCTGAGACAAATATGGTATCAAGAGAACCAGCCAGAATACAGAGGCACAGATCTGTCTTATCGTTGGAATCAAAGTCTGTTCACAAACTCCCCTAAAAATAAAATATATTCCTTCTCTAACACATGGCTTTTTTTTATATTTCAATTAAATCAGGATTTGGATGATGAACTCTATTCCTAGAGCCCTCTACTGTTCCCCCCCTCCCCCCTTCCATACAGATAGTGGTTCTTAGGACCAACCTTTGTATTCATATATTGAAGACCACTAATTGCTTGAATAAGCAGACAGAGTAAACAATTTTCATTAATTGACAGCAAGGTGAATAAGGCACACTGATGTTAGTTTTATTAGTGCTCCTTGTTATCTTACTGTAAAAAGCCTTAATTAGGTATTTGTTTTTCCCACAGGTCATAGAGTTAAAGTTTGAGAAGTTTGATGTGGAGAGAGATAACTACTGCAGATATGATTTTGTGGCAGTGTTTAATGGTGGGGAAATCAATGATGCTAAAAGAATTGGGAAATACTGTGGAGACAGTCCACCTGCGTGAGTAACTTATTTGGCTTATTAATAGTTATAACTGTATGTCCTTTTCGTTATCAGTTCTTTACTATGGTTTTTCTTGAGGTTATTTTGGCAAAATATGATCTTTTTCTACATCAAGTACATACTGTGGGCTTTTCCTATTATCTCAGATATATTGCAACTATTGTACTGAATAAGGTTAGACTTTTAAATGCCTATGTATATGGAGAGATAATCGCTTATAAAGGTTTCTTCTTTCTTTCACATGGGCTGTCCTGATGTGGAACATGCCCCAGAGCATTTAATTTGTTTGTTCATAACTCTGTGAAATATGGTTGTTCAATGACAATTTATTTTACTTATTACTGATGATTATGCTTTTCACCAAATTGTTTTATCCAGTATTTATTTACTGTATGTTAAATCTTGTCTTACCTCAAATCTTACCTGAAATCTTGTCACACATATCTCAGTCTCCCCTTTCTGTTCAGTTAGTTGGTGATTTTAGTGCTTTGGGCCTCTGACCAAAGCAGATGTCCTCCCATTCTGGTTCCAAATACAATAGCAAAATATATCATTGGCTGTCCCTGGGCTACAGCCTTCACCTGTATTGATGTAGGCAGGGCCGGCTTTAGGCTGATTCCCCGGAATCAGGCCCCACGCCTAAGAGGGGCCCGCACCCGCGGTCTGCTCTGGGTCTTCAGCAGCATTTTGGCAGCGGGGGGTCCTTCAGTGCCACGGAAGACCCAGAGCCGAGTGAAGGACCCCGTGCCGCCAAAGACCCAGACCGCCGCCGGGTATTCAAATCGGGCCCTGCAGTTCCTAAAGACAGCCCTGGATGTAGGGCTGTGCTAGTTGACCTTTGCCCTTCGGCATGTTACACAGTTTCTTGTTTGTTTTCCCCTGGGTGCCAGGCTGACAGGTCCTTCACTCCTGGGTCAAAGACGTTTCCACACCACCTGTCAGTAGAGCTGTTGAGGAACCCTAAGCCACGAAGGGCTTGTATGCACTCCACCCAAAAATCACCCATTTCACTGTTTAAAAAAGTAATTTCCATTGCCCTTTTTTTAAAAAAAAAATGGCCTTCCTCCTGGCATCTTTCCAGGCTACTTTAGCACAGCCTTCCTGGACTCCTTTCCAAAGTCTTATCAGTCTGGCCTCTTCCTTGAGCTTTTCCAGTTCCTCCCAGGCTCATGCTCAGAGAAATACCAATTGAATGCTATCACAATGCCCCATACCCAGTCTTGCCTCATCCCTGCAGCTTCTCTTTATGTTCTCTGGAATGCCTTCCCAGTGTGCCTTGCAACAACCTACACAATTCCCAGGGTCCCTCAGGGATCCTCCTTGAATTCCACTTGGAACAGAGATGTACAGGCCTGCCCTTAAAAGGCCAGTATGCCCTGTAACAATATTCTATTGGAAAACATTATTTCCAAAGGTAGTTCTTAGTAATATTTAGTTTTTCTTTCACTCTGTGTACTGAAGCACAAGTCAAAGGTTTAAATATGGTATTTTTATGATCTCAATTAATCTCTGTTTTGGGTTCTGTAGCATTCTATATCAATGCTCTTTCCATGGTAATGCACAAAGCCCATTCCAAAAATTACATGAAGTGGGGCATTTGTGCCTCAGATGCCCCAAATTTTTCCCATTACAAACAAATGAAGTCTTTTTATTTTAGGATCCTATAAGTCTACTGTAGACCTCAGCTACCTGATTCCACCACCCCATTTTCAGCAGCTGCTACCTAATTCTGTATTCACTATTAACCACCTTTATTATGGTAACAGACAGTCCTGTGGCACCTTTAAGACTAACAGATGTATTGGAGCATAAGCTTTCGTGGGTGAATACCCACTTCATCAGACGCATGGGCTTTTTACAGATCCAGACTAACACGGCTACCCCTCTGATACTTTATTATGGTAATTATTCTCTTCAGCCTTGTCCCATTCTCTGGGTTCTCTGCTGCCCCCTGGACCACTGCTCACCTTCCCTTCAGTTAGTGTCTATGCTTGTACTCTTGCTGCATTAGGCCTTGTGTCCATGAAAGTGCTACATTATATAGCACTATCTGCAGTTGTGCTGGCATACTGCTAACGCAGCTGTGCATGTTAACATCAGAGGGCTCAGACATCAATGGCACAATCCCACGGCCTAGGATGAACCCGAAAAACATGAGGCAATGAAATAAAAAGACAGAATGTGCTTCTGCTCCAATTAATTTACGTATTGAATTCAAATACTTTTAGATGAACTCACAAATGAGTTGCCTGAGTTTATTGATCCTTAAACTACCAGAACTTTTCCACCTTGCTAGTCAAATGAATATGATAGAAGAATATTGTCTGAGCATTTGGGACAACTTGAGGATTAGAGCATGGTCTATTTTGAAGTATGACAGTTATTATTTATTTTTTTCCCTCACGGCATTCATTAGTTGATATACATCAGCAAGGGGCTGATGTTTATGGATTCTTAGTTTTGCCATTTACATTTAATAATATCTTCTAACTCGACATTCATATATTGTCAACGTGTGATGCATGCTTGAGTTTCTTCTGCTCTGTGATATTAACATGCATACATATCTCATATGTACTATAAGTCTCATATGTAGTTATATTACTGCCAGAACTAAAACCCAGAAAGACTGTGAAATTCTTTACTGCATAACTATCACGGCTCCCTGAGAAAAGCCTCTAAAAATACAGCTCTAATGAGGAGCTGTCTGGAGTTAAGTGCACTCAGCCTGAAAAAAGCCAACCAATGGCACTGTAATTATATAATCAGGTCTGCAAAGCTGGCAGTAGTAAGTCTTAATTATTCTAGAAAATGTGTAAAGTTTCTAAGTGAGGATAGTAATTTAAGTATATCTCTTCAGCTATAGTATGGCTTCTTGATGCTGAACTATTTCAAGAGATGCCATGTTGCATTTTGTTTCAAGAAAGACAAGCTTTAAAAAAAATCACAAGTCTATATTATTTGAAAGGAGTCTTATGCCTGAGAATGGTCACTAGCTGAATTGTCAAGAGGAAATATTTCCTCCACAATGACTCTTTCAAATGACAAGTTTGATGGACTGAGACAAACTGTCCTTTATGATTATTTACACTATATCTTCATGAGAATAGGTTTTCTGTGGTTCCATACAAAAAGACAGTTTTGTTTGACTTGTCCTTCAATAAAGGACTCAGTTAGTAACTACTATTCATTAGACTTATTTTGAAAATGACCTTTCTAAATTAAAAATGTAATCATTTGTAATAATTCCAGAAAACAGAACAGTTGGATGTTCTTTCCCCCACATGTAATGTTTTGGAATTAGAATAATAAAAAAGACAAATTTAACAAAATCAAGTTTCCTTAGAAGTAAAGGTCTGTTAGTCCCAGAGATCAGTGAAAAGGAAGTCTCTTCTAATCTTTTTTTTTCTCCATTTTTCACATCCCCGGGCAGCAGCCACATACATGAGTGACCTGTGTGTCTAAAATTCCGGAGTTAAATGTGAAGAACTTTGTAGCAATTAGAGCAGGGGACTGAGGGTTAATAATCTTGCTTTTTATTTGTGCCTTGGACATTGCTGTGTCCTTGACCTAGTTACTTGGGACCTGATTCAACTCCTGTTCACCTCAATGAAAATTAATATGGTCCTCCTCTTAACCCTTCATTTCTCTTTTTATCTATCTAAAAAGTGACACAGTATCTACCTTACAGGGCAGTGTGAGTCTCCATTAATAGTTGTAAGTGCTTTGAGGGCCCTTAGTGACTAGTGCTATAAAAGTGCAAAATGTTTCAGGAAAAGTATCTCCATATAGAGGTGAGTTTTCTAATAAATGGAATGTGTTGGTTTTCTGATGGTGAAGCATTTTCTTAAATAAGTGGACCTAATCCCAGACAAGAGGCAGTCTGGTCCATGATGTGTTCAACAAATGCTTGTGCAGACATGTTTTTATTAGGGCTGTCAAGCAATTTAAAAAAAAAATCACGATTAATCGCGCAGTTAAACAATAGAATACCATTTATTTTAAATATTTTTGGATGTTTACTACATTTTCAAATATATTAATTTCAATTACAACACAGAATACAAAGTGTACAGTGCTAACTTTATATTTTTGATTATAAATATTTGCACTGTAAAAAAACATACTGTATTTTTCAATTCACCTCATACACGAACTGTAGTGCAATCTCTTTATCATGAAAGTTGAACTTACAAATGTAGAATGATGTACAAAAAGAAACTGCATTCAAAAATAAAACAATGTAAAACTTTAGAGCCTACAAGTCCACTCAGTCCTACTTCTTGGTCAGCTAATCACTCAGACAAACAAGGTTGTTATAATTTGCAGGAAATAATACTGCCTGCTTCTTGTTTACAGTGTCACCTGAAAGTGAGAACAGGCGTTCACATGGCACTGTTGTAGCCGGTGTTACAAGATATTTACGTTCCGGATGCGCTAAAGATTCATATGTCCCTTCATGCTTCAACTACCATTACAGACGACATGCTTCCATGCTCATGATGGGTTCTGCTTGATAACTATCTAAAGCAGTGCGGACCGACACATGTTCATTTTCATCATCTGAGTCAGATGCCACCACCAGAAGTTTGATTTTCTTTTTTGGTGGTTTGGGTTCTGTAGTTTCCACATCAGAGTGTTGCTCTTTTAAGACTTCTAAAAGCATACTCCATACCACGTCCCTCTCAGATTTTGGACAGCACTTCAGATTCTTAAACCTTGGGTCGAGTGCTGTAGCTATTTTTAGTAATCTCACATCAGTACCTTCTTTGCATTTTGTCAAATCTGCTATGAAAGTGTTCTTAAAACGAACATGTACTGGGTCATCATCTGAGACTGCTATAAAATAAAATATATGCAGAATGTGGGTAAAACAGAGCAGGAGACATACAATTCTCCCCCCAAGCAGTATAGTCACAAATTTAATTGACGCATTATTTTTTTAACGAGCATCATCAGCATGGAAGCATGTCCTCTGGCATGGTGGCCGAAGCATGGAAGGGGCATATGAATGTTTAGCATATCTGGCATGTAAATACCTTGCAACGCCGGCTACAAAAGTGCCATGCGAACACCTGTTCTCATTTTCAGGTGACAGTGTAAATAAGAAGCAGGCAGCAGTATCTCCCGTCAATGTAAACAAACTTGTTTGTCTTAGCGATTGGGAGAATAAGAAGTAGGACTGAGTGGACTTGTAGGTGCTAAGGTTTTACTGTTTTGTTTTTGAGTGCAGCTATGTAACCAAAAAAATCTGCATTTGTAAGTTACACTTTCACGATAAAGAGATTGCACTTCAGTACTTGTATGAGGTGAATTGAAAAATACTATTTTGTTTCATTTTTACAGTGCATATATTTGTAATCAAAAATAAAAATATAAAGTGAGCATTGTGCACTTTGTATTCTGTGTGGTAATTGAAATCAATATTAAAAATGTAGAAAAACATCCAAAAATATTTAATTTCAATTGGTATTCTGTTATGTGTGATTGCAATAAATTTTTAAAATCGCGATTCTTTTAATTAATCATGTGAGTTAATTAATTAATTGACAGCCCTAGTTTTTATGTATACTGAGAACAGCTGCCATGGGATAAGAGAGAAGGTGCTCTCATGGATTGGTAACTAGTTAAAAGATAGGAAACAAAGGGTAGGTATAAATGGTCAGTTCTCAGAATGGAGAGAGGTAAATGGTGGTGTCCCCCAGGGGTCTGTTCTGGGACCAGTCCTATTCAACATATTCATAAATGATCTGGAAAAAGGGGTGAACAGTGAGGTGGCAAAATTTGCAGATGATACAAAATTACTAAAGATAGTTAAGACCCAGACAGATTGCGAAGAGCTATAAAAGGATCTCTCAAAACTGGGTGACTGGGCAACAAAATGGCAGATGAAATTTAATGTTGATAAATTCAAAGTAATGCACATTGGAAAGCATAATCCCAACTATACATATAATATGATGGGGTCTAAATTAGCTGTTCTTTATATTCAAGAAAGAGATCTTGGAATCATTGTGGATAGTTCGCTGAAAACTTCCACTCAATGTGCAGCGGCAGTCAAAAAAGCAAAAAGAATGCTGGGAATAATTAAGAAAAGGATAGATAATAGGACAGAAAAGATCATGTTGCCTCTCTATAAATCCATGGTACGCCTACATTTTGAATACTGTGTGCAGATGTGATCACCCCATCTCAAAAAAGATATATTGGAACTAGAAAAGATTCAGAAAAGGACAACAAAAATGATTAGAGGTATTGAATGGCTTCCGTATGAGGAGAGATTAATAAGACTGGGACTTTTCAGCTTGGAAAAGAGACAGCTAAGGGGAGATATGATTGGAGGCTAGGTCCATCAATGGCTATTAGCCAGGATGGGCAGGAATGGTGTCCCTAGCCTCTGTTTGCCAGCAGCTAGGAATGAACGACAGGGGCTGGCCACTGTTGGAAGACAGGATGCTGGGCTAGATGGACCTTTGGTCTGACCCAGTAGGGCCATTCTTATGTTCTTATGCTTCTGATCAGTAGCATCTTGCATTTTGAACGCAGACTCCAGAGTTCCTGGTTGCCTTTGGGACAGCAGTCTGAGTCAGTGTTCAGATTTGGTGATATAGTCCAGTGCATGCTATATCTTCTGGGTTTTACCATAAGCAAGTTTATAGTAAATTTTATGGTGCTTATCATAATATCATAAAGGCCAAAATTAGATGGTTCTTCATAACCATATATCTATTGTGTATTAAAACATAGTTCAAGGTAAGCTATTCCAGTATTCCATCTCTTCATTTTAAGTGGCAAAATAACTGATAAGACACAAGCCTCGTGCTAGAGAGAATATATGCATTAAAAACCTAGGACAAGTCAAAAGATCAGATTAGAATGCATGCATAAATTACATCAGTGCTTCAGTAAAATGAAGAGCCTACGATGGGCTGATCCTGTACCTATTGAAGTCAAAGGCAGTTCTCCCATTGACTTCAGGGATGCAGGATTGACTCTGCAGAACAGAATTACAGTAATTTATGCACGCTGGACAGTAGGAAAATAGAATTTTGTAAGGTTGCTCTATACTGGTGTTTCTGATGGACACTGTTATAACAATGTCCCCTGCTCCTCTAATGAAAAGCCAGGTGCTGTGGAGCACTGAGGGTGCAGGAAGTGAATAGACTCAAAGGACAGCAATGAAAATATTAGCTTTTTGAAAGAGGGGTTAAATTTTGAGGCTGCTTTCAATAATTACACAAGACAGAGCTCATTAACCAATTGTTACAAATAACATAAAACCACTGTAACAGAACAGATGCACTTCAGGAGTACAGTTGTATTGGATCCATGCACTCCTCATGTGTTTGCAAGCATTTTACTTTCTACCTCATATTACACTCTAGGTGAGCAATCCACTATAACCTTGCACCTGATTATGTCTTACAAATCACTATACCATCGAGAAATCAAGATTATACTGAAAACCTGCAATTTAATAGATCTTTTTCAGTAATCATAATTTTTTTTTTTTTTTTTTTTTTAAACAGTGTGTTCCCAGTAAGTAGCAAAGTCTGGTACAAACAATAGCAACAGTGTCCCTAGGCAGTTAAGCTAATAGAGTTGAAAAGATTCTTCTCCTGCTAGCCAGCAGTATAATCTTGTTATAAGTAACTAGTATCACCTATGCAGTATTAATGTAATTCAAATGAGAAGATGATGTGATGTGCATAGATAGGTCAAATATCCCTCAGATGTTTATTTTTACTCCTAGTGTTTTGCAATCAGAGCACAGCTTTTACATAGCGAATACTCAGGGTTCTTGTAATTCCACTGCTCTGTGCCAACTTTGTGGCAAAAGAGCAAATTCTGTGCAACTCCAGAATCAGCTCTTAGATGCAGAATTCCAAATAACAGGAGAGAGAGAGAGTGTGTGTGTGTTAAACCCACAATTAACTGAAGTCATATTTCACTTGTGGAATATCAGCCAAAAATGGAGATATTCACAGGTTTTATTTTAAGGGCCTAATTAGGAATATTAAGAATGGCCACTTAAGGCTTATGAAAAAAACAAACATCTATCGGATTTGTTGAGTGGTAGGGAGGGAGGCAGAATAATTTTATAAGTTTTTTACTTTTTAAATCCATTTCTTATCATCTTCCTCCCATAAGAATATTTTTCTTTTTGTTTCTATTGTCTTTCCCATTCCTACTCTTCCCTTGTGACCCTTCTTTTGTATGTAAAATGCATATTAACAATTATTAATGAAAATCAAACCGATGTCTCCAAAAAGTGCAAAAGAAGTAGGAGAGGGGAAAGGAGAATGCACTGCTGCCACCCAGTACACGACAAGATGGGCTGTGGCAGCAAAAACCATAGTCACAGAAGCTCTTACTGAATTACAGTAGTACCCTGAGGTAATCCACATTGGGGTCCCGCTATGGTAGGTGCTATACAAACACTATTGATGAAATGGCAACTATTTAACAGAGGTATCTGCAATCATATGTATTAAATTTATACATTACATTTAAACACCACAACAAAACTCAGTTGGCTGTGCTGAGATTTGGGGGTATATACCCAATTATTGGAAAAAAGCTAAACCCATAGAAGGCAATAATACCTGAACTTTTCCTTTACTTACTGTTCTACTTTTCCAGGAATTTCAGAATCCACTATTAAATTCAATTTCTCCATCCTTTCAGAAATGATTAGTAAATTTTTCATTTGAGTTTGAAAAAAAGACTTTTCCCCATATTAGCCAGTTACCAAGGACTTTTGAAATGTTTCCCTCCTTTTCATTAGTCATTACTGCTCTTTTTCCATGGTGCTGTTGTAAAGGCAAAGCTGAATTTAACAGCACTCATTTTGAGATTAGTCTTAGAAATATGGGATTTATGATTAATTGTATGATAAAACAGAAAGAGCTGGGTGATGAACTTATCTCTGATCCAAGTATGAGTATCTGAAATGTGAGCAAACACCAACAAAAAATGAGTTGCATTTAGCCTTGATTTATTCTTCTCCCCATCCTAAGCAGCCCCCTTGAAACCAAAGGTGCTGCATGGCTGTAATGCCCCTATTCTGGTATCACTTATACACTTGCTTAACATTATGCTCAAGAATAGTCCCAGTGAAGCCATATCTTCAGAATATTTGTGTGTCCGTGTGAAGGGAATGGCACTAGTCATGTGCATAAAGTAACAAACATGTGCATAAATCTTTTCAGGATCAGGCCTAACTGATAGAATAATTTGCCTTAACTGCTTTTGTATTTGTTTCCAGTTAAAGTTTGCTTGAGTGAGTCTCCTGAAAACAGTTTCCCATAACAATGAAAATTACTGTCACCTACTGAAAATACTGTATCTCTTCAGAGCTCTATGGCCTAGTTGATAGAGCGCAGGGCTGTGACTCAGACCTGGATTCTATTTCTGCCAGTGCCATTGGCCTGTTGGGTGACCTTGGGCAACTTTCATCACCTCTGTGCTTCAGTTTCCCTGTCTGTAAAATGGGGATAACGATGCTTGCCTGCTTTGAGATCCACTGCTAAGTATTTAGTCATTTTGTGCTATGAATGTTATAAAAACTTCCTGGTTTAAAGGCATACAACCAAAGTATTTTCTTCTGTTTCAGGCCCATTATATCTGAACGAAATGAGTTGCTCATTCAGTTCTTGTCTGATTTAAGTTTAACTGCTGATGGCTTTATTGGTCACTATAAATTCAGAGCCAAAAAGTTACCCACAACCACAGTTCCAGCTACGACCACTCCCCCTGCAACAGCAAGTAAGTTGTACTGGTTTTATTTTATATTGAAGAAGAATTCACTCAAGGAGAAGGAAAGATGAAGGGAAACTGTAGTAAAAAACGTGAAAAAGCAGAACTTGGTTTTGTGGTTTGTTTGTATTAAAAATGTTGAGGGAGTGGATGAAAATTAATGCACCCAGGGGAGTCACTAGAATCCATTTAACATCATTAAAGAAAACTCCTCCAGTCTAGAGTTTCCTGTGCCTGTAACTGTCACAGGTGAGAAAAATGTTAGCTCAGAAAATCTGAAGTAGCATTTCCTACATTTGCTCATGTTTCTGGCAGATAGCTAACAAGTAACTTTCACCATGGTACTCACATAGTGTAATGCAAGACTGATTTCTTGTTTATGCTAAATAAAATTCTGGTTACTCTTCTGAAAATTGTTCCGGTTTAGACTTCTGAGGAAACCATGAAATCATTTCAGGATGAGTTTGTACATAAAAATTGACCATACTTGTCTCTGTTTGTCCAGTTGGTGAGATCTAACAAATGATGCAGACGCCAGCTGAATTCTCATTAGACCCTACTGGCAACATCACAGCAATGTTTTATCTTTCGGATTAGGTTTGCGCAAAAGATTGTGGCGGTGTTTTGTAAAAGAAATATGCAATACTAAAAAATGAGAGCGTCCCTTTTATACTTGCCTAAATATAGACAGTGTGTCTAAGATCAGTGGGAAGTTTCCCATATGCTTCGCCAAAATCACCTCATTGCTGGGATTCTGAAGGGTTTCATGCTTGCAATCTTCATATCCTGAATGTGAGAGATTAAATGTATAATAACATCAGCATACGCACAAATTATTTATGATGTTTTTTACAGCATGTGGGTTGATTTGTACTTAAAACAGATCAAATTGTCATGATAACAAAGACTTCAGAAGGGTTGTCAGAGATGTGGTGCTGAAAATATATAATGAAAAGATGTTAAAAATAGTCTTTGGGAGAAAACAAACATTTTAAAAATCGAAATAATGAACTATAACAGATAACTCTGACATGACAGTGGAGGGAACCCTAGCAACAACTAATGGAGGTCTTCCTCAACATAAAGTTCTCTATTTTAAGTTGTTACTTCCCATATTTGCCATTCCCTAAACTTGTCAGCTGTCTGATATTCAACCGTTTACATCAAGGGGCCCATTCATCTATTTTGGTAACTTTTTTTTTTTTTTTTGGGGTAAGCTTTATTAATTTGTTCTAAGCTTTTTAAACCAGTCCTTGTGGCACCATTGATGTTAAAAATAAAGCCAGTCCACTAGTGATCTCACAGAGTATGTAGCAGACTCAGAGGTGACCACAAAGGAGAGCTTGTTGGGAAGAGACAAACAGGAAGAAAACTCAATTTGTGATCTGCTCTCCATGGCTTAGACCTGTATGACCAAAAACAACCTTCCACAGTTTAAACTTTTGGTGACTTACTGAATGGCATGTGGAGAAACATTGTGGATATTTTGTTGGTAACAGAAGCCTTAGTAATAACAGGCATTTATTATCTTGCAAATCAAAATAGTTCATCCCTGCATTAGACTTGTTAAACCATTAGTGACTGTTTAACTTTTAGCAGGCACTTCCATTAACCATCATGTTTAGTTATATACATTTACAGAACCATTATTATTAGGAAACATGGCAAAGTACTGAAAAACCATGAAGTTTTCAAAGGATTAAAAGTAGGTCTGTCATAAGTTTCACCCCCACTCTGAACTTTAGAGTACAGATATGGGGACCTGCATGTGAACCCCTAAGCTCAATCAACAGCTTAGATCTGGGCTGGCTGCCACCACCCAAATAGTTTGAGTAATTTGGGAAACTCTGTCTTCTTCTCCCCCCCCCAAACCTTTCCCTCCCTGGGTAGCCTTGAGAGACTTCTTCACCAAATTTCCTGGTGAACACCGATCCAAACCCTTGGATCTTAACACAAGGAGAATTTAACCATCCCCCCTCCTTTCTCCCACCAATTCCTGGTGAGTCCAGACCCAATCCCCTGGGATCTTAAAAACAGGGAAAAATCAATCAGGTTCTTAAAAAGAAGGCTTTTAATTAAAGAAAAGAAAGGTGAAAGACAAACCTCTGGGAGAGATTAGCATACCAGCTACTCTCTCAGACAACAGATTCAAAACACAGAGGATGTTCCCCTGGGCAAAACTTAGTTACACAAAAGAATATCCAATTTGATTATTCCCCTAATTGCAAGACAAGTTACAAAAAGAAAATAAACAAAACCTATTTATTTCTTTTCTAATACTCACTACTCTGATAAGAACTGATTCCTTGATCTTTTCCACTCTGGCCGAAACTGAAACTGACAAAGGGAACTTCTCTCCTTCCTTTTGAACCATCTTGTCCTCCCATTGGTTCCTCTGGTCAGGTGTCAGCTAGGCTAGGTGAACTTCTTAACCCTTTACAGGTAAAAGAGGCATTAACCCTTAACTATCTGTTTCTGACAAGGTCAGTGACTATCAATTAAATGTTTTCACATAATGCTGCATTATGAGGTGTTTTTTTTTAATTTCACTGTATAGGTCAAATCATGTTGCTTACAGTATAGCTATAGATAAAATTGATACCAATTAAAGGTTTAACTAACTATAGCCAGACCCTCTCCAGTTCATGCTTTGCTAAATTGCAACATTTCTCATCCACACAAGCATCTTCCCACTTCTCATATGCTGTAATGAGGTCTCGTACCAACCAGATTTTATTATTTTTTACAAAATATACAGTACTACTACATGTACTACACTTACTAGTATACCTTGAAGTATCATGAATGCACACTAAATCATAGTTGACAAAATATTTTGTGATGCATTCACCCAGTCATTAATATGCGTTTCACGCATACTCTCTAAATAGACAAAAGGAACAAAGAGGGAGAAAGGAAGTACTGTTTTACAGATGGGTAACTGAGGCACAGAAGGATTAAGTGACTTATCCAGGGTCGCACAGGATAGCAGCAGAGTTAGGAAATTGAACCCAGATCACCTGAGTTGCAGTGCAGTACTTTAACTGCAAGATTATCTTTTCTGTCTGAAGGAGGCTGTCCAGTTATAACTATAACATTGTGTCTCAATGATGGTATTTTAAGTATACTATTAAGACTGCATGGCAGTGAGTAAGAAGACAAGGAGATAATTTGAATGCATGTCTCAGATCACATTACATTGTCAAATATAGATGTTATTGCAAATTGTTACTATAAATAAAGAAAAACTGCATTAAAAGAACATGAACAGTGATAAGTTGTAAACCCAAAAAATGTAAGACTATTCAGCAATAAAGCTGCCATCATTTTTAATGTCATCTTGGCATCCCTATTTACTCCAACACACACACATCACTTAACATTTATACTTGAATGCATAGACACAATAGGGATTAATTAAGGCTGCACTTGCATATTTCATGACTTTGCCACCAAATATTTCCTAAAAAATTGTTGCCTTATAGACAGGTTCTAGTTGTACCCCTGACTGTTTATTGTGTGCAGTTATGTAACCTCATAAACCAAGTGAGCAGCTGAAATCTCTATATTTATAGTATGCAGTCTGGATTGTACAAGGCGTTTTCAGTTCTGTTCAGTTAATATGGCAATTAAAACAGATACGTGAAGACAACATGTATATAATAAAAAAGATCCAATAAAGACTGGGTGAGGAAGTTGGAAGAAGACGACTGTTGAAATCATCTTCAGGCAATTCATCCCTTGGAATCCCAAATCTAGTTTTGCAGATTGAAAACACCAGGAAGAATCTTGAAAATATTATTTAGAATGTTTAAATACACTCAATATCAATTTTACTCATTTACTTTTTTTGTCCTATGAAAAAAAGCTTTGAAACCTACAGTTGCCCTTTGCCAGCAAAAATGTAGAAGGAATGGGACTCTTGAGAGCAATTACTGTTCAAGTAACTTTGGTAAGAACAACAAAGTTTATTTCTTTATAATTAGTGACTTAGGGCTATGTGTTTAGTCTCTGAGGAATTACAGAGAATGTAGTTGTAAATTGCCATTAGTATGCAAAGAAATGTTTTCATATCATCATACTATCTCTCTCTCTCTCTCTCTCACGTATCTATGACTCAATACATTCCTGGAGATGTTTTGAAGTAAAGATAGTGAATGTGTATCAGAAACAAACATACTTTCTCAGTCTAAACACAAATGACTACACAGAAGGTGAACTGTTGCTATATGAAAGTGTCGATTCAGGTACTGCGCTGGCATACTGTCTTGCTGGAACAGCCTGTATATATTTTATTCACAACGATATGTTTGCTGTACGTACTTGCATTACTCACTATTCCATAATTCAGTTTGTAGATGTTCAAAATATTTTTTTAAATAACCTAAGGTGAAATATGGAGAAGCTGTGAAAGCCTATAAGCCATACTTTTCTTATTCAGATATAAATTACTGGTGATTACCGTATATACTCATTCATAAGCCGAATTTTTTAGTAAAAAAGGGAAGCGCCAGAGAAGGGGGTCAGCTTATGAATGGGTATAGAGAGGGAGGGTGGGACACAGCCCCTCCTCCCCCAGGGGGAGCAAGGAGAGGCAGCACAGCCAGCAGAGACAGAAGGGAAGAGGCAGGGCCAGAATCTCTCCGCTTCTGGCCCCGCTGCTCTCCCCCCAGCCTCCAAAGCAGCTGCAGCTACGGGGCTGGCAGGCTGCAGCCGTGCTGCTTGGCCCCGCTCCCCAGAGCAGGCTGTGGCCATGCCGCCCGGCCTGCCGGAGCAGTCTGCGGCCGTGCCGCCCGGCCCAGCCCCCTGGAACATGCTGCAGCCGCGCCACCTGGTCTGGCCCGCCGGAGCAGGCTGTGGCTGCGCTGCCCAGCCTGCCGAAGCAGCTCGAGCCAGGTCAGAGACATCCTCCCCTGGCCTTCCCCAGATAAGGTGGGAAGGGATGGGATGGGGAGAGTGTGGGGGTCCCAGGCTAGGGGAGGGGTCATGTGGGGGGTGGTCACAGGGGTTACTCCCCTGACTCCCAGCTTTCCCCCCCCCCCCCAAAATTTCCCCACCAGTTGCTGTCCCAGTCTGTCAGGGTAAGCAGCTGGGGCACCGGGACACTTTGTTTACTTAGGTTTACCTCCCTGCCTGTGGATGCTAGAGGTAAACAAACCACCTCGGCCCACCAGCGGCTTATCCTGATTGCCCGGGAGCCAAAGTTTGCTGACACCTGAATTACAGGGTCAGCTTATGAACAGGTTATTAAAAAAATTTCCATTTTTACTTATCCATCTTGGGGGGGTTCAGCTTATAAACGATCCGGCTTATGATTGAGTATTTGTATTTGTACAGTACTATCAGTCAGTGACTTTGTTTAGTTACCTCACGAGGTGATTCCCCCATATTACTGTTGGAACCCTCTTTTTAAATCTCACTCCCTTCTACGGCTATTGAAACCTCACGTTGTGGCCACCATCCTCTCGGCCAAAGAAAGTTGCTCACAGTAGCCTTTCAAGCTAATCCAGTGAGCATATTGCTAATTGTCTTTCCCACTGGGTGCAGCTTTGTGCATAGCTTCGCCATAGCAAAACAGCCCTAAAGACAGCAGATTTGGGGGCCCTGGAAAAATCCCCTCACAGGTGGATCCTTAGATAGCATAGGGCCACTTCCCTTCCTGTCTGCCGGCATAGAGAGGTGGCTGCAGGTGCAAATTAGAGAAGTCTTCAATGCAGATTGGCTCACGATCAGAGGGACCTGAAAATTGCCTTAAGCCATGGTGTTTGCACCCCTTATTGAGCTGTGCAACAACTTGATCACAGCCCATGATCTGGGTCAAAGGTTTATTTGGCCATTGAGTGACACAATGCAAGGCACTTTTCTTCTATCCCGTAGGGCAAGTGAACAGCTTTTAATACTTCACCCAGCTTCTGATGCCTTAAAGTTTGTTCCTCTTTAAAATAAGAGTAAGATTACTAAAATGTTTGTGTATGTGATCTAGGTTTTGAATTAATGCAGAAGGTTTTAATTTTGCTGGCTTTGACCCGTTGGAAAATAAGAGCAATTTCTTTTTATATGTTTTGTATACCTGTAATATTTGGTAGCTGATCTTTAGAGGTATGTTTTCTTAGTCTCCATTAATGTAATATCTATAGTGCTATTGTGATGAGACTTCCACCACATATAACTGCAAGAAGTTCTAAATTAAAAGAATACATAATTTCACAAATGTTTGATCTGAACTGTTGGTTATACATACCAATGTTTAAACTGTTCAGTCAGCATGTATTAGATAATTCAAGATCTATTTGATCTCATTCGAAGGTGAACTGCAAAGGAGAAAAATAGTTGTACCGTTTATTGTTCCTTTCATAATTATGGCCTTAAGTTTGCTTCTGCTTGTTTCTTTATATTAGGAATATTAGGTCATGTCTTTTTCTTGCTGAGGGCTCTTCAGAGGATTAGAAAACAAGAGTTAGGATAGTGACATTATATAGGCTTAAATTTAAGTGGCAGTCTGTGAATTACTAAAGTCAGTGGAGTTCCATAAATATAAAACCAGTGTGAGATCAGAGTCAGGCCCTAAAATGCACCATCGCCTTTTGACACTGAAGAAAACTGCAGTTCTGCTTTCAGCCTATTGTCATGTCACTATCCCACTCCATTTCTCCAGTGCTCCAAAGAGCTCTCGAGCAAAAACAGGGATGACAAGACCTGATATTTCTATTGGGGGAGAAAGGGGAAAAATCATCCAAAAGAATGTACTAAACTTTAGAGGTTGTCTTTATGTATCTTAAATAGTAAATAAAAAGGGCACGTTTTTCTTGCTTTGCAGTTCACCTTCTAAAGAAAAGTGTAGGTGTTTTGTGCAGCCTAGCAGTCTCACAATTCAAACAGCAGGTAGGAGGTTCTTCTTACTATAAATATACTAAAATATGTCTGAAAACAAACAGGTTTGATTTTCTGTTTTTCAGAGATCCTACATACCCACAAGTTCTGTTGACATCAATGGGATCTGTGGGCGTTCAGCATCTCTGAAAAATCAGGTCAAATATTTTTTATTGGGCATGTGAGCTTAGTGGTGCCTCTTCCTTCTCAAAAAAGAGATATGGATGATGCAGGAGCCCAGTGTAAGACAATTAAATGATGAGTGTAAGAATTTCCAACTATTTTAAAAATCAGAAAGAAAAAATAAGGGTTCATGAAGTCTGACCTCCTGTGATACACAGGAAGTCAGACTAGATGATATGGTGGTGGGTCCCTTCTTAAACTCTATGATGTTAGTTATTTTTTTAAAGTATCAAAACTTAGAACTGGATTTCCAAGTTGTTGGTGTTTTCTGGAAACAGTTCAATTTTTGACAGATCTCAATATTTTGCAAATATGTTGCAGCCCTCATTTTGGTGGCTGATAATGTATTTCTGTTACCTTCTTACCCTTTAGAAATAAGCAAGAGTTAAAGGGGCATCCATCAAGACTGACAGATAAAATTTTTTAACCTACTATAAGAATAAACATGATACTGAAAACTAATATATTCTTTCTTCTAGTAATAACGGGAACTGTTATCACAGCAGTCACGCGGGGCGGCAGCTTACATGCAACAATATCAATCATAAATGTATATAAGGAAGGAAATTTAGCAATCCAGCAAGCAGGCAAGAATATGAGTGCCAAGATCATTGTTGTTTGTAAGCAGTGTCCTCTCATCAGGAGAGGTAAGTAAATGAGACAAATAACTGCGTTAGGTTTCTGTAAAACTTTGCTCACCATGGCTTCCATTTTCATAGCTCTTCTAACAATTTTAATCAGTCAGCTCATGTATCAGAATTACTAATTTCAAGAAAAAAACTATCTAATGGTATAATACATTTTCAGTTATTTTCGGAATCACTTGATCCAAATGACAGACTTCATAGATAAACATCTACTTGAGTGTAAAACCTAGGTATAGACTTTAAATCCGATAGATATTGTAGGTGAAACAATTCTTACAACTTCATTGATGCAGTGGTTCAGTATCATTATATGATTTTAATAAAATCAACAGGAACTTGTTTTGGTGTTCCCAAATAAAGCTTAACTGGATTTCAGTTTTGGATTTCGGTATTTGGGAGCCTGTTTTCACATGCAGTTATTTAGATAGGGAAAATGCAAACAGGTTAAACGTAAGAGTACTCAATACAACAACCAAGAGCACATTTGAAAGCACGATGTCCTCCTCCTCCTCCATAGCTGTTTTATACTAATTTACCTAATACCTCCCTACCTCAACTGTCTTACAGGCAGTCTAATAGTAATAAACCCACTCGATATCAAGTAACATCACTACAGCCATACCAAACAAAATTCTGTATCAAGTATGTCAACCAAGGCAACAGCCAATAAAATGTAATCAAGTTGGCAAGTGTATCGTTATAAGAAATGCTTGGACAAGGTTTCATAGTAACAAGAAATTGAGAACAGACCTCAACCCTACCTCCTGAGTAAGCTGTAGTAAAAAGCAACAAAGAAACCAAAAATGGAACCAGAACAGGGAAAAATCAGAATAATTTAACCAGAGTATAAAGCAAAATACTCAGCCTGCCACTGGTATTTCCAACAAGTATCCAAAATGGCCAGCACCGAAGAAGGAATCCTAGTCAGAAATTAATTTTTGCTTTTATCTTTTGCTGCTTGGAATCTGGATATCTGGGAGATATAACAATGTCCTTGATGGAGCAAACAGACACAGTGGCAGATTAGCCACAGGGCCCATGCCCAGGGACCCCCACCAACTGGGGAGGCCCCAGAAAAAATCCGGCACCAGAGGTGGAAGCCCAGAGCCCCGGCCGCCGGGCAGGCGGGGAAGGGAAAGCCCCCATGCCCCAACCCCACTCCGCGGCAGCAACGCTGGATGGGCAGGGAAATCCATCCCCCCCAGTGCCCTCCAATCCCATCCCTGGCAGAAGCTGTGGGATAGGGGAAGCCCCCCCAGCAGCCTCCGACCCCCTCAGAAGCCCCTGCGTGGGGGAACCCCAAGCACCCCACACCCATCCCTAGTAGAAGCTGTGGGGCTGCAGGGGAAGCCTCCATGCCCAACCCCGTTCTCCGGCTAAAGCGCCGTGTGGGTGGGGAAGGGAGAAGCCCCAGTGCCCCAACCTTGGTCCCCCGCAGAAGCACAGGGGAAGCCCCAGCACCTGGACCTCCGCTGCGGCCCTGGGACTGGAGGATACTTGTGACAACTGGCTTTTAAAATCATATCTGTCAATGTATATGAGCTTATTAGACAAATTTAAACTGGATGAGACGCATTCTTCTCTAGGTAAGAATCGAACTAGCTGAGTTAGGACTTAAATTATATAAGGCGGCCAAAACTTACTTTTTAACAGAAGGTGGGGGATGCACCTTTTATGCAATGTATGCAGCACTACCTGTGTAAATAGAGCCCACAAGAGTAGAACTATTCTTTCCAAGTTATGTTTAGAAAGGGATTTGTCTTACGTCACCTTCCTTTCTGTAGGTCTAAACTACATCATCATGGGCCAGCTAGAAGAAGATGGCAGAGGTAAAGTCCTGCCCAACAACTTTATCATGAGTTTCAAGACTAAGAACCAAAAGATCCTGAACACCTTGAAAAACAAACGATGTTAAAATGTGAATCCTGTACTTGCATTCTGTCATCGCTTTGTGAGGAACAATTTTCATACAGTTAAAAAATCAGGAAGATAAAATTGACCATAACCAAAAAAATCTTGTCAGTCTATTGTCCCTTACATATAACCATGTAACTGGCACTGTCAATTACATAAATATATAGAGGAGAATAGATCCCTAATTTTAAACTGCAAGATTTGCAGCATAACCATCTGATCTGAAGCATACCAAATTCTGACTCCTTTGAAGCTGTCAATTTATACTTGTCTCAGAAGGATTTTTTTAGGAATGAGTTATGTGCAGATGTAAAATAAGAATAAGTGCAATATTTATAGTAATTCATTTTAACTTAGCTTTTTCTTCTAAAGTTGTTTTATTACATGGGTTCTTGCATTATTATCTATGCTTAAAAAATATTTTAAAACCTCACAATACACCAAGGAATTATCAAGTTCTCCATGTATTAAGTGGGGCATGCTAAAAATAGAAAATCTCTGATCATTTACATGCTTGTGATGCTCTGGGACTGGCATAGCAAGAATGGCAGCACACTTTTTTATAGCGTTTACATTAAAGTCAATGGGAATTGGATTAGGGCTTTTAAAAATATGAAACTACTACAGTGCAATGCTTTTACCTAGTGATGTTTTATCTACATTGTTTATTTTATTTTTCAGTATTTCACAAATAAAAGCCAAATGATATTAACCTTCACTACATAGGTAAGGGCTAGGAACCAGTCCAGGCCCACTGAACTACACCTGCAAACAGTATGCTTTCGTCTTTCATAGAATGGGAGACCAAGATTCAGAATGACACAGCTTAGTACTGGGGATGCAAATGGTAATATAGCTGTCCCCATAGGCTGATGTGGAAGAAAGAAATGCTACGAAGTAAGAGTGATTCATTTTCTTTTAGACAGTATTCCCACATCATCAGCCTTTATACATAAAGGAAAGGAGAGGACTGGCAGGGAGATGCTTGTGATACAACGCCAGTTACTGCTATCCGTTCTGTCCATTGCATCCTGTCTGATCCTTATTCTGAAATAAAAACTCAAGTTAAAGTAGATGGAAGAATGTAGATTTCACTGAAACATAATGGAGAAACTGAACAACAGGTCTGTGGAAGGCAGACAAACTGTTTTTATTTCTGATTCTACAACTACACCAAGCCTGAACTTTGTCACTGACAAATTGTATGTGGTAATAGACGCTCAGGCTTCCTTGGGCGCTTAAGAAATTATCATCCTTTTCAATAAATACTGTCCAGAGGTCAGTTTATCCCTTGGATTCCTCAGATTAAAGAAGTGACTTTAAACATAACCAAATAAAAAGAGAGAATTCTAAAAGGGGCATCAATTTGAAAATCATGTCTCTAAAATGTTTCCCTCCCCACCACTGTTTGCATGATGGTAGTGCCTAAAGACACCAACAGAGACTGACATCCCATTATACTAGGGATTGTACAGAACAAACACACAATGAATGTGAGAAAGTTCCTGCTCTGAAGAGTTAACACAGAAAAAGGGGGGAGGACATAGAGATGAAATGATTTACCCAGCATCACCTAGCAGTTCAATGGTAGAGCCAGCAATAGAAGCCTGGTCTCCTGACTCCCCAGCCATTGCTCTACCCACTAAACCAAGCTGCCTCTGCCACTTTGGTGTTCTTAAAGTGACATTTGTTTTCAAACCACATTTGTCATGCTCCAGTTTCATACTTAGTTTTCAAATACTGGTTCATGTGTAGACTCTTTATGTATTCTGGTACTTGCATGCCTAGACAACAGCTTGGTGACACCTTTACACTCATGCAGTGCTCTGGAAGCCATGTGTACTCTCCCCTACTTACAGGATGGGGGGAGAAGAGAACACAACTATCCAATCTCTGTGTTAGAAACTATGCATCCGGCCCTCGTGCTCTCACCGGAGAGCCGGGTTCGGGGCTTGCCCCGCTCCATGCGGCTCCTGGAAGCAGCGGCATGTCCCCTCTCTGGCTCCTATGCCGAGGTTCCCTGCCAATGGGAGCTGTGGGAGTGGCACCTGTGGACAGGCAGCGCACAGAGCTGCCTGGCTGCGCCTCCGTGTAGGAGCCGGAGGGGGACATGCCACTGCTTCTGGGAGCTTCTTGAGATAAGCACCCCCCATGGTCTGCACCCATGCCCCAACCCCAGCCCTGATCCCCCTCCTGCCCTCTGAACCCCTCAGTCCCAGCCCAGAGCACCCTCCTGCTCCCCCAACCCCTCATCCCCAGCCCCACCCCAGAGCCCTTATGCCCCCTGCACCCCAACCCCCAATTTCGTGAGCATTCATGACCCGCCATACAATTTCCATACCCAGATGTGGCCCTCGGGCCAAAACGTTTGCCCACCCCTGATGTAAATATTAGAAATTACTTTGTTAATCACTGTTCATCAATGTATCCCCCAGCCTCACAACAGCCACTAACACTTGGGTGCCTGACTCACTTCCACAATAGTTATTTTGGATGGCATCATCCCTGTACTGTTGGGTTGTTTTTTTCCCCCCATCACCAACATAGGCAGTTTTGTTGGTTTGTTTTTGGGGGTGGGGGGAATGCTTTTCGATAGTAGCCGGGAGAGTCCAACAGCTTACTACAAATCTCTTCTCTCAATTCATGGCAGAGGGGGCTCCTGACCCAGCTACTATTGACATCCCCTCCTCATGAACTTCACAGCCTGAACATATCGCCTTATTCCCAGAGCTTTTCTAGAAACAGCTTCTCTTTTCTTGCTGAGGAAGCCCTATTCCACATATATCCCTCATCCAGTTAAGGATTTTCTAAATACTAGCTTGAGATATTTACCTGTCTCTCCGCCCTCCCCCCTAAAAAAAAAACCAAAACACCCCTCCCCCCCCCCCCCACCCCACTTGCATTGGAGCAAAGTACAAAATTTTAAAAAGTAACAGACTGCTTAGGGGACAGTGATTCCAAATATAAATTTAGAAATAGTAAATTTGGCATGCAGTCACTTACATCTAGTCTGTGACAGACCAAATAGGACCAAAGGAAGATAACTAGCAGATGCAAACTCTGGGAACCATTTTAGCTAGAAACAGAATGAAAGTCAAACATCTCTGTTCTTGACCCTTTGCTAGAAATTATATTGGCATGAAGAAAGTGCTTTTTAAAAAGGAGAAGGGGATTTTCATGTACAGAATATAAAGGAGAAATTAGTTTGATCAAGACAAAGAAATTTCCTATGAGACAAAATGACAACTCACTTGAAAGGAAAGAGATAAAAGAACCTGAAGAAGTCAGCATACCTCAACAGTCTCATTAGCAGAAACATTTGCTGCTGTCATGCCTTATATAGTATTGCAGTTTGTATGAAGAAATTCCTAAATCCTATAGCTAAATTAGCTCTAATCAAGCTTCTTGCTGTATTCTTTGTGTGTCAGTTGAGAGCATTTGTGCTGCAGTTGAGCCATGGAGACAAGTAGATGGAATCATGTGACAAGAAAAAATACCCAAGATTCTAAGTCAAGAGGCTGAAATGGCCACTAAATTAATTTCGGTAGAGAAAATACTCCTAATGTTGGTAACAGAAACCAAATAATCCACAGTAAAAGGTAATGGCAGATCCACTAGACTAAGAGTCCTGTTAATACACCAGCCCTTACTTTCCATGTGATCCCATCACTTGCATATTGAAGGTTTACATTCTAATTTCAGAAGCCATAGCATCATCTAGAAGAATGAATTACTAGACTTGCATAAGCTCTTGTCACTGAGCTGAAGAGAACTATTTTCTCCTCAGAGAGGCACATTTCAGTCAGGTGTTTCCAGGCTTTTTAAATACACATTACCTAATGGACCAATAAATGTTTCTTGGATGAAGCCCAGAAAATCTGAAAACCAAGTGTCACATCCATGCCAATACCTTAACTGAAGATCCTTTCATCAACAAATCTGTTCAAGACTATGGCTTGAAAGGAGTCTGTAACATCAACTCCATTCTTGTGGCAGTATGAGAGAAACAGGTGTGATTTAACAGTAAGCTGTCAAGTAAGAAACAATCAATCAATCTCTTTCTTAAAAGCTTGAGAGACAGAAGTCTCAAGAATATGACCAGATTGAATATGCATTACCCAGAAAGGTCATTTACTTGTCTCTATTTGTGCCCAAGGAGAAAGACATGAGGACCACAGCCACCTCCAAGTCCCAAATACAATGAACACACTAAAATGTATGTTGTGACTAAAGTACCATAGAGACTAAAACTCTGCTTTACAGGAACCTGAACCACACTTCTAGGTATATTTTATCCCATCTCAAGGCAGGGGGATGGACTATGTGACATCTCTTTCTGCTAACATTTTTATGATTATAGACATGAAAATCTGAAGCAAAAGAAAACTAGATTTTTTCCCCAACTCCAAAGAAATGCCTTTGCATAATATAGTTCTATAGTCTGTTGGGCAGGTAGAAGGAGAAAAGGCTTACAGACAGACAAATAAAGGGAATAATGTGGAAATATTAATAGATGGGTATCTATAGCTTCCAGCCAACTTCCTTAAATTCCTAGACTAACATCTCTTGATGTGGTGTGTAATGCATTGGAAATGATAAGCTCGCTCCTAAATATTTGTTTCAAGTATATGTTTTTATTAATATCTAATACAACCATATTTTTCAAATTGATTTTTCTTCCTTTCCTTTTTTGGAGTATATGACAGAACATATACAGTGCACAGCTTTTATGTTTGGATTATATACTAACACCACTCACCACCCAAGTCAAGAATTTGATCATCCTCTTGTCTTAGAACGTAGTTATTCAAATTAAAAAGCTGATGGACAATTCAGAATCTCTCTACAGAAGGAGATCAAAAGGCCTGATGTTTAAACCCCACTTGGGATATGCATAATTCCATAGTACAGAAAATATATTACTTTTACAAGAAATATTTTATAAGAACTTCCTCGAAAGGGGGAACACTGACAAAAGCCCCATCTCTCTATCAGCCCCAGGATCAGTTATGGTTATAGGCCACTGTGGCTACCTGCGCCTTTTGGCCTTAAAACTCACTAATTATCTGAAATCCAACCCAGAATGTTAGGAGAACACTGCCTCCACAGTATTACTGCCAAACAATCCTCTAACTGTCATAAATATAATGTGTTTTTCATATTAAAAAAATACAGGAGTCTCACATTTTCTCAATTATAGTTTGTCAACTTGAATTATACACAAGCATATGAAGATATACTGTACCCTCTATCACAGAAAACTCACAAAGCCCTTACTTTCCATTGTAAGCAGAATAAAAGTCACAAATAATTATGATGTTCAATAATAATTCTGATACAAACACCTTACAGTTGGCAGCAGTACATTCAGGAAGAACACAAAATATCAAGATAAATTTAAAATAGGATATGAAAAAAATCTCTCACAGGGTACATCTAAACTGCAGCTGGGAGGGTGCTTCTCAACACAAGTAGCCAGACACATGCTAGCTCTGTTCAAGCTAGCGTGCTAGAAATAGCAGTGTAGCTGGGGTAGTGTGGGCAACAACTTGGGCTAGCTGCCTGAGTACAAACCTGCCTGGGCTCCCTAGATACATACTCGATGGTTAGAAAAAGCCACACCCATGCTACCCGGAGCTACGCTGCTACTTTTAGCAAGTCTGTCTATTGTTACTCCTGGGGGAATTCTGCGCCACTGCGCAATACAGAATTTTGCAGAAATTCATGTTGTGCATGCAGAATTTCCTCCCCGCCCCAGAAATGGGCTGCAGTGCTGCTGGTTGCCACTAGGGGCCGCTGGACCCAGCAGAGCCCAGTTCTCACACATAGAAGACACTGCTGGAGGGAGGGGGAGGGAGCTAGAGGGTTCCCAGCAGCTTCCATTCCCTGAGAGAAGGAGATGGCAGTGAGCATCAGGCGGTTTCTCCCTGGGTCCTGAGGAGTAAGGGGGCAGGTGTCTGGGCTGGGGGGAGCATCTCTGGGCTAAGGGGGGCCCTGCAGCTGGGCTCTGGGGCCAGAAGGGGGCAGCGAAACAGGAACTGGATTGTCATAGGGCTTTCTTTAAACTTTCTACTCCTGGGGGAAATTTTGTGTGTGTCTGTATTGTTACCGACATACTTGCTGATAGGTATTTTGAAATAAATTATCAAAATAATTGAAACTGGCGTTATTATGTAGTGTTATTTTGACAAATAAAATTAGCAGAATTTTAAAACGTGCGCAACATTTAAAATTTTTTGTTGCAGAATTTTTAATACTTTTTTGGCGCAGAATTCGCCCAGGAGTACTATTGTGCTGGAAAACACATTCACAGCTGTGGTGTATACATACTCTAAAAGAGAGCCTTCTGAATGCACATCTTCCAATGTCCAGGCATAGTGTATGTTCTTACATAGAAATAATTGTACAGTATTTCCATTTGTTTTAATGGACCAGAAATATTTAGCCTGGCAAACAAGTAACATTCATGCTCTAGACCGATATCTAATTCTTGTTAAAAAATATGTTTTCCTATGCCAAAGAACAACTGTGTGTAATCCAGATACACAAGGTTTTCTGAACACTATTCAAAATTAAGAGGCTAATTTTAAAAAAAATTCCCAAATCCCAAGAGTTGCATATTGCAAATGTACACACAGGGTGCTACCTGAAAAATCTTAATATGTTTTTGAGAGGACATAACTATTTTAAATGGATCCATGAAAGTTCTGGAGATGGGTAGCTTACTTTGGCTCTATGTCCAGAGTTCAGCATCCACAGTACCCTGCAATTTTCAGGGAACAAATCACAAATTTCATTTCCCAATGTTTTACAGTTGTTAATATTCAGTCAACAGCATCATGTACAAAACCATTTTCAGAGTCATGGAGTCTTTTGCAACCTACTTTAAATCATATACTGGTTAAATTTCTATTACGAAAGTACCAGGTATATTTTTAAGTATTGTTAAGATTTCCATCTTTTCCCACAACTTGAAAAAACAGTAACCAAGAGGGACATAACAGCAAATATAGGGGAAATAAATGCAACATGCCAGCTATGATGACATGAAGCCCGACAGCTAATGTGACCTGTCAAAATCCATATTTTGGGGAACATTTATTGTAAAATGCTATATACATATTTTACATACTGTACATTACACACTTAAAGAGCTTAAAAGAATGACAGTTTTTGCATTCATTTCCACATCTTTTGAACTTAGCTGAAACTCATGCAAATACATTTTCAAATGTAAGGTTGTGCAAAAAATTTGCTTTTCTGTTTGGTCTGGCAACAAACTTAGGCCAACACTTTCAACTGTGAATACCTAAAATTAGACATGTTCCTTTTAAAATCTGGACCTTAGTTTCTTGGATAAAACATAGCATATTTAGATGTCCGAAAGCCAAGCAGATCCCTCATTTCATTTCGGAATTTTGATAGATCTTGCCGCAGTTCATTGAGATTTTCCACAGTTGCTTGATCCATGCTTTGCATCTTTTGTCTCATGGAGGTTAAGTAACGATGGACTAAACAACACATCACCTTTTGGTAATTCTCATCCCTCTTTTGCTTCAGATTTCTCCATTCCTTTAAACAAATATACAGGTTTACTAAACAAAAGGGATTTATTTTAATGTATTTATTTAATTTTTGAGCCCTGAAGCCTGTGTACAATTGCACAGACAGCATTACATATGTGCACACAAATTGGAAATCCGTATGTACCAATTCTCAACTTGTGTACATGTATGTGACACTGTGTGCAGCCTTTTGAGATAAAAATGAGGCCTACAATGCCCAATTCGTGAAGCAGAAACGAAGGTCTTTTAATCTATCTGGCTTGGAAAAAGTTATACAGATGTACGAGATTTCCATCATCTAGTCATTAATAGTATTTCTGTACTTAAATGTATGTTCAGTACAGTCTTTCAATCTGGTTTGCTTGAAATATTTTTGGCTGCAAGAAGGAGCAGTAGCAATTAGTATACATAATTATAGGGTACATTAACTATGTTTATTTAAAGAAAATGTAAAACCAAAAAAAATTAAGAGACTCCAGTGTTCCTTTTTTGGTTATTTATTTTGACATGTCATGTGACATGTTTAAAATTAGTTGTCCCCCCCACCTTCAGCATATTCTAACTGCACCATTTTCAAAATTTTTACAAATTTCAACACTGAAGAAAAAAGTGTTAATAGGTTTTACATCAAGCAGCAGGGCCATTAAATATTGGGTGAGCAGGTTTTGTTTTGTTGAAACATGAAAATTATGCCAGCCTTTATTAAAAACCTCAATTAAAATCTGAAATAATTTGTTTTGTTCCTGTTCTGTGCTGAGTTATATTTTGGATTCATAGACTAACAAAGTTTAAGGCCAGAAGGAACCATTAGATCATCTGGTCTGATTTTCTCTATATCACAGGCCATTATATTTCACCCAGTTACCCCATCTTGAGTTTAACAACTTGTGTTTGGCTAAAGCATCTTCTAGAAAGACATCCAATCTTTATTTGAAGACCTAATCCACCACTTCTCTTGGTAGTTCGTTCCGAAGGTTAAGCACTCTCAACTTAGAAATGAGGAACACATTTTAAACAATGAATTTTCTGGCTTCAGCTTCCAGCTATCACTGGTTCTTGTCATGCCTTTTCCCGCTAGATTAAATAAGCCTTTAGTATCCCATATTTTCTCCCTGTGAAGATACTTATATGCTGTAATCAAGTCAATCTTCTTTCTGAGAAACTACACAGACTGAGATCTTTAAATCTCTCGTTGTAGGGCATTTTCTCCAGCCTTGTAATCATTTTTATGGTGCTTGTCTGCACCCTCTTCAATATTTCAACATCCTTTTTAAAATGCAGGCACCAGAACTGTTACATGGTATTCTATTATTGATCTCACCGATCCCGTATACAGAGATAAAAGTCACCTCCCTATGCCTGCTGACTACTTCCCTATTTATACATCCAAAGATCACATTAGCTCTTTTTTGTCACAGTATCACACTGGAGCTCATGTTGAGTTGCTTGTCCAACAGGACCCTTAAATCCTTTACATAATCATTGCCTTCCAGAATTTACAGTCCCCTGTTCTACAGGTATGGCCTGCATTATTGGATGTATAACTTTGTATTGGCTGTATTTAAACACATTTTGTCTGAATGGGCCCAGGTTACCAAGCAATCCCAAATTGCTCTGTATGTCATCATTATTTACCACTCAACTAATCTTTGTGTCAGCCACCAATTTAATCAGCAGTGGATTATATTTACTTCCAGATCATTGACAAAAATGATCATTTTTACTTTTTACTGATCATTGCAGAACCCCATTAGATCCTCCTCCTCCCACCCCGCATTTGATAAGGATTCCCCACTGACAATGTTTTTGAGCTCCATCAGGTAGCCACTTCTTATTTCATTTAATGTGGGCTCTGCAGATATTGTATAGTGCTAATTTTTAATCAGTGTGTCATGTGGTACTACATCAAAGATCTTACATAAGTATATTACATTTACTCAGTTACTTTCATCAACTAAACTTATAATCTCTTCAAAGAATTACATCAGGTTTGTTCGGTAAGAACTATTTTCCATAAAAATCATGTCGATGGGCAATTATATTCTTACTCTTTAATTCTTCATCAACTGAATCCCCTATCAGCTTAACCATTATTTTGAATATAACTAAGACTATACTTAGAATATATTATTGTGATTTATTTATGATACTACCCACAGCATGATAGGAACTTCCAGAGTAGACAACAAGATAAATTCTCTTAGGTTCATTTTAGCAAGGAATATTTGTATGATTGTTAACATACACTTAACTTTCCAGACAATTTCTTACCTTTAGGCTATTCTGACGTTTGACTTTGCCAGTTGAAGTATGAGAGCCGATCCATTTACTAAGGCTGTTGAAGAGATAGCAGATAGTCTTGGGAGAGGGAATGACATTGAAAGGTGGAGGTAGTGTGCATTTATCATCAAAGTAGCTAAGCCAAAGCTTGGCACGTGCAAATTTCCATTCTTTGTCTTCATGATTCTAAAATACCAGAAATATTAAGATAACAGTGGTAAAATGAACAAGAGAGTCTGCAAAAAAATTTGTAATGTTATGAGAATTTATGTTAGTAACTTTATGTGGTTTACATTTTCCAGTACCTTAAACACAAACAATGAATAAATTCACCAATATATGCTATGGCATAAAAAAAGTCAACTACTAGTGTGTATAACTCACATGTTAAAGGCACTTTAAAGAAATATCTAAAATAACCAAAAGGTTCAATGAACTGACAAAAACTGATTCTATACTCAGCTGCCATTAGACTTCATCTTTAATTCCCACGTGTCTGCACTTAAAAAAATTGTAACACTACAATACTTTGATACAATTAAAACAGGGAAAATAGACAAGCCAAACATTCTTGTCTGATCTCTGCCATTCAGTTCATGACCCTATAAATACTTATGCATGTGAACTCATAGAAACTATTTGCGTGCATAAAGTTACTCATGCCTGTGTTTCCACAATCAGGCATTAGACTAGAATCCTCAGTGTAGAGACTAACTCTCTCTTGTACAGCACCAAGAACATTGCTGACTCTTTGACTTAAAAAATAATACATAATTAATTTACTTACTGCTATCAGCTGAAAGCTTTTATGAAGCATTGCCACTAAGAGCTTGGTAAGGACAATCACAACCACTACGTTGTAGGTACCAACAATAACAGCGCCCACAAAAGACTGCAATTCTTCACCGTAGCTAAATCTAGTGACAAAGACTGCTACATGTGCTAGGGAGAATATGTACCAGAACAGAGCAAAGCAGGTGCCAATAAACCTACAAAAACAAAATAATCTATGGTTAGATCACATATTAAAAAACCTTCACACAAATGTAAAAGAAATTAACATGTGAATTCAATTATTCAGCATGAGCTGCCAGCCTCATTCAATTATTACTAATTAAGGGCCAGACGGATACTGTTATTTATGTTGAATAGTTCTTTACATCATAAGCAGTCCCACAAATCAGCAGGGCTATTTATAGAGTCAAGTGCTACAGACTTGTCAGTAAGGGTATCACAGTCTGGCCCTAAGTGATGATATAGCAGAGCCTTTCGTTCCATTTCAAATCATTACATTTCAAATAGTAGTTTTCCCTAAAATACTTTTTCTCAACCCTTCCCCTCCAAAAAAACAAAACAAAAATAGACAATATCTAGATGCAACATTGGCTTAATCCAATGCCCAACACAGTGACTATAAAGACTCTAGTACTTGTGGCACCTTAGAGACTAACAAATCATAAGCTTTCGTGGGCTACAGCCCACTTCTTCGGATGCCCACGAAAGCTTATGCTCTAATAAATTTGTTAGTCTCTAAGGTGCCACAAGTACTCCTGTTCTTTTTGCGGATACAGACTAACACGGCTGCTACTCTGAAACCTATAAAGACTCTGATTGACTTTACTGAATTTTGGATCAGGTCTTATACCAGTGAGGTTCACTATTTAATGGTAACTGATCAACATAATAATGAAACACTACCACTGAAGAAGTTCTAGTTCTCCCAGAGAGACAGTCACCAAGTAATTCAACTTTATAATCTCAGTGGACGCATATGAAACATTTTTATTATCTGCAGATCACTGAGTTTATAAGCCATACTGTAGTATATATCTTCAAGGCACCTTGATTTCAACTTAATGCCCAGGTGCTGTGGAGACACTTCACAATATATTAAAATAAAATGAACCTCAAATTTCTAGTCACTACAATTTAAACAGGTATAGTTTAGAAAATAAATAAACATTTTTGACTCTTTATAGTTCATCTTGAAGTTGTTAATGTAGGAAGGAACATATGGATCAACCCACGGTGTGCAAATTTTCTGCTTATCAGAATTATGAAAAAATTGTCACTGTGCATACACAAATTTAATGTCTCTGTCATTCTAAAATTTAAAAAATACCAAAGCACTCCAATTTATATTATTATTTTAACAGCCTTCAAAAAAATTTTAAAGATATCTTTAGCTGACTGAAATGGAAGAAAGTATCTGTAAATTGAAACTTTTCTATGTTTCTTCTTTTACAATTTTGTACCTACAAGCATAAAAACCAATTGCAGTAGGCAGCAATGTAGGTTATCTAGTAGCTTTTCATCACTTGATATCCAAATACTAATCCAATAAGTAGAGCAAAGCTTGTGTAATGACAGCACTTGTTTGCTCAAGTTGGTGCTATTAACTCCTCACGTCATATGCATTAAATTTGTTTACCTCACTAAAATAAATAAATAAAAGCTTACCAAGGGTAGGTCTTGTAGGCAAATTTTTATCCCAGTACTAGTTTTAAATATCACAGAAAATGGAATTTCATAATGGATTGTTGGGAATCACAATACTCCACAGACCACCTGCACTGTAACAACAGCGTGCTAGTACTGTTGTATACTAGAAGTGGAAATGCCCACATTATACCTTTTTTTTATTACAAGTGTGGACAGTAGGAAACAGTTTCTTAATTGTGTTAGGGAATGTCATTTTAGCCTCAATAGGCTGAGTCTACACTGTTTTTTGTGAAATTCAAACCACTCACGTTGTACTGGTGAATAGACTTGATGCTTGTGTTTCTACCAGTGTGTTATCTATCCTTACTTAGAGACCTGCCAATACATTAATGTTCAGTTGATACCATTGGTGGAGCTGCAACTATGGTGAATCCAGATCATAATTTTCCAGTATACATACACCACTCAGGTAAATATCCTGCAGAGTCAGCGTAAATGTCCTGCAGCAGATTTTTTAAATTAATATTTTATTTAACATTCTAAAACTCACGAATGGAATGTGTCATTGCTTTGCTGTTCACAGAAGATCCCTGCACAGTCCTTCTCTTCATTTACAGTAAATCCTTTGTCATACAGTTGGGTCAATCCAATTGTGAATGAGAACAAGACAAGAAGGAACATCCCTAGGAATTTTCCAAAGTCTTGCAACATCTGCCCCATTGAAATCTGTGGAACAGATTACCAATTTCCATTAACAATGAAATATTAATAACTTATCAATATTCCTTCACTCAGTCCCTACCAGAAAAAATATTGTGAACCCTACATTTTAAAATTTAATGTCAATACCTTTGTATCAGAATTCAGGATTGTAGCCAAGAACAGACAATATCAGGTATATTTAGGATATAGAGATGAAATATAAGTATTTCTTAACATTGTAACACATAACCAACAGGCCTGTAAGATATTAGGCTTAGACAAACAAGGCCTCAGGCCTAAAAACAGGTAGATTTGAGCAGCTGAGGAGTTACCCTGGATCACAAGATGAAACAGTCCCAGGAATACATGTGTTAAACTGCTAATATTTAGAAACTATATATTTCAATGTACCAGATGAAGCTGCTTAGAGTTTTATGGGGATTTTTGCAGACATTGGGTGTCAGCAAGTTGTCCTGGTGACTGAGTAACGTACATGTTAACAACTATAAGGGGAACTAACAAGTTAACCTATGAAAAGTGGAGCATCCCAAAAGTAGTGGGGTGTGGAAGTTCAACCCCTTTTCCTTATTTGAAACCTTCAGAAATATGTATGAACCCCAGTGAGTGTCAGCACAGCATATTATAAAAGTTGTATCTTGGCCTGCGTGTCTTAGGAGACACTAGGATGATATCCACTGGCGATGATGGTGACGATGAAGATGTGGAGGAAGATGAGTGACACTTCAGGGTTCCCCAGCAAGAGGCAAACATGAGTGATGCCAACCATAGAGCTAACACTTTGCACCCTTTCTTTTGTTGTATTTCAGTGTTTGTGGGACTGTAAACTTTATCTACTTCGTGGGTTTGTTAATAGAGGGACTTGTGATAAATTGCAGCTGTTTCTCATGTGCTTCGTCAATTTCTCATTCTAATGACATTATTAATAATCTTTCTGATGCTATAGCCACTTATTAGACTGAACCCTTATTGACTACTGTGGCCTAAGAAATTAATCAATAATCAATACACTAATCCATCAATTAGGCTACAGGATAATTAATGTGTTACAAAATATGTAAAACAAATGGTTTTCCTTAAACCAGTTAAACTGATTTCTGAAAAACAATTTAAGTTATTATAGGCAAAACAAAATGTTTAAGAAAAAATTTCAGGTACTAACAATGCAAATTACTGCCTTTCAATAAATGGTAAATCATTAATTTGCACACAATATCCTGCACTCATAATTTAATGCAGATGACAACTAAGTGCAAATGAGCAACAAACATCCGAGTGTGCTGCAGCTGAACAATAATGCCAACACCAATTTATCAAGTTCCTTTTAAGAGTAGATGTAGCATTTAATACGGACATCGAAGTCACCAAAACTGTAGGTAGCATAATTCAGTGTAGACCACAAAATACCATACCTACACCCATTTGTGGGGTACATTACTACTCCACAAAAAAAATACAGCTAATTTAGATGCATGTCCCTAAGTTACCAATGTAAGTGCACCTAAAATAAAAGTCTGCAGTAGTTTTACTAAATCATTTTTCTAAACAAATTAAATTGGTATATTTTTCCAGTATAGATAAGGCCTAAGTGCATTATTAGGTCTATGTAAAATGTATGACATTTAAACAAAAATACAGTATGAGCTGTTTCCCACATTTAAGTACTACAAAGTTATTCCACAATCTAATATTTACAGCACATATGATGGCCCTTACATCACGGGGTATGTGAGCTCTAAAACAGATTTAACCATGTAAAAGTGTAACCCTAATCTCTGAGTCACTACGAATATACATGATAGACAGACACAACTGACTTCCTCCAGAAACTCCGCAACATTAACAACCTCCCTCAGAACACCATCCTTGCCTCCCTATACACCAATATACCTCACAACGACGGAATCGTTGTCTGCCTCAAATATCTACAATACAATGGACAGCACTCAGATATCCACCCCAAACTCATTGCTAAACTCATCCATTTTATCCTAACCCATAACAATTTTACATAACACACACACACTTGTTCAAACCATGGAAACAGCCCTGGATACTAGGATGGCTCCCCAATATGCCAACCTCTTCACTGGCTACCTTAAGGAGAAATTTCTGGACAACTGTACTATGAAACCAAGGATGCCCCTGAGACACATCAATGATATTTTGATCCCCTGGACAGACGATCTAAACTCCTCATAGATTTCCACCATAACTTCAACAACCACCACACGTCCATTAAATTCTCTCTAGAACAGTCCTACACCAGCATCAACTTCCTGGAAACCACAATCAGGTGTAACAGTAGAACCCTACAGACAACTATATACAAGAAACCAACAGATCACAATACTTACCTTCACAGATCAAGTAACCACTCCAAACACACCAAGAAATTGGTTATCTACAGCCAGGCCTATTGATACCACAGAATATGCTCCAAGAAAAAAGTTAGAAACACACTTAAAACCGCCTTCACCAAACAAGGACACTCCACCAAAGAAGAATATCGCATCATGGAATGAACTACCCAAATATCCCAACAGAATCTGCTTCAATACAGAAATAAAACCCCTTCTGACCGCACATCCCCTAATTGTCACCTACCACCCCACTCTGGAACTTATGTGGAACATCGTTAACCAATTACAACCCACACAATGGAGACCACATCCTCAAAGAAATCTTTCCCAAGTCCCCCTCTTCTGGCCTTCAAACAACTCCCCAACCTCACCCTCAGAAGAAAGCTCCAGACCAGGACCCACCAACTCAAAGTGGCACCACGTCCTGCCATAACAACAGATTCAAAACATGCAGATATATCTCCACTGCTATGATGATCAATACCTTCCACAACACACCTTTCAAGATCCATGGGCCCTACACATGCCTATCACAACAGGTGGTGTACCTCATCCACTGCACTAAATGCTCCAACAACAACTATATGGGTGAAAACAGACAATCCTTACGCTCTCAAATGAACTCACACAGAAAAACGATAAAAGACAAAAACATCATAATCACCTGGGGGTGAACATTTTTCACAAAATGATCACACCATATCTGATCTCTCAGTCTCCGCCCTCAAAAGAAACCTGCACAACACCTTCAAAAGACAAGCCTGCGAGCTTAAATTTATAACTTTGCTAGACACTACAAATCATGGTCTTAATAAGCCATAATTCTAGTGTCTTTATTATGACAATCTATAGCCCACTAACCCCCGTTTTTGTCCTATGACTGCAGGGTGTTAACGGGCCACTTCACCTTGAATGATCCCTTAGAATATGTGTTAACTACTTATATTACATAATCTGTTCCAGTTTCTATTTAGCTGTGACACTCTGAGTACCTTTCCCAGACCTGAAGAAGAGCTCTGTGTAGCATAAAAGCTTTTCTCTATCACCAACAGAAGATGGTCCAATAAAAAATATTATCTCACCCACCTTCTCTCTAATATCTGGGGACCAAAACAGCTATAATACTACGGAAAGACAGACGGGCCATCGTATGTGCTGCACCGTGGTCCACTGTGTTCTAAAGAAAATGATTTTAGTTTTACTTCCATGCAGCTTTCTTGTTTTGGGGGCATTATATATATTTTGGATCCAGAGATTAGTAGTACACTGCTATTTTATAGGATGTATACATCTTTGGACTATATGAAAAGTAAGGGATCTCTGTACCAAGCTGTGACCTAGGACAGAGAGTAAGAGCTGTCAGATTTAGTATTTCCTTAATTTTATAATTTTCATCCTTTCAAAACAAGTTACAAAACCCAGCAAAACAAAATTATGCCGCCAAAACATGAAAGCTGCATGGAAGTTAAAAAAAAAAAAAAAGGCACTTTCTTCAGAGTACAGTGGACCAGGCAACTAGTACACAGATCAGATACCTGTTACTCTAACTATAGTCATATTATATCTTTCCAAGTGTTTATAATTTGTAGACAACTTGAAAGCTGAAAATGTTAGTACACAAAACCAAATTTTGTAAAAAGCTCTTTTTAATATATCTAGTACTAAAACTTATAACTGACTTTTTTCTTAAAATAGGTTTCATAGGCCAACATGTAAAATGATTCAGTACTTAAAAATATCTCTAACAGCCAACAGAACACAGTAGCTTCCCTTCATTTTTCTCTGTTGGGGTGCCACACCATGTTTAATTACTACTATTTGAACTTGTGACCTACTTTTGGAAAATACTTTAAGAGTTGTTGCTCAAGTTGTACTGGTCAACAGTAATAACAAGATTCAGTGTGAAACTGAATAGGGTGACTGTTGACTATTTTTGTTTATTCAGAATTTTGACTTCACTACATAGCTGCCTAATAAAAATACATAAGAAAGATATAGTACATAAACAGGTATGTTAAACAGCAAACCTCTTTGAAATGTAGGAGATATGTTTTTAGTACAAATACACTGAAATTAAAGTAATACTCTTACTTTAACATCAATATGTTAAGTAGCTGCCTGAAAGTATGCAAATGCTTTTTCATTGTGTGAGCACGTGTGTGGGGAAGAAAAATGAGAAACAAATAAAAAGAAAAGTGGCAAAATAACTGGAGAGACAGAACCATAGCTAGAAAGAGACACAAAGACAAGAGAAAAGAACTGTTTGAGAAGATTATAGAAAGAGGCAGTTAATGTTAATCGGCTACAAAACACAAATATTCTTTCTAAAGTAACTTCTATCTTGAATTTTTTTAAAAATTCAACATGTGAAATTTCTATTACTTTTCCTTTTCAGAGCACAATTAAGGGGCTACATTTTATTAGAGCCAAAATAAATCTGTTAAAAGAATGTTAGGTTGCAAAGTCAAGCACTCTATAAAGTTCGGAAATGCCAGATTTGAATGCTCAATCTTAATTTTGCCCTCCCTCCCCCCACTTGTGTCCATCCTGTACCCTGAATGAGGGAGGGGAATATGGAAAAAATAGTATATGATCATGCAATTAAAGCCTATATCATAATACATATGTACAAGTTCAAGTCTAGCATTTTCTCTGTCAGCAATATTATTTACCTGAAGTGGTCCTAGGATAGAACTGGTTGTATACATGAAGAAGAGTCTAAGGTAACTAAGAACATTAGCAAAAGCAAAGAGACCTTCTGCCACCAGTGTAGGATGGAATGCGTCCCAGTCCTTTCTATCAGCAAAATCATGGAACTAGAGTTTCAAAACAAAAAGCTGAAGTTACTTACATTATTTAAAAAAAAAAAAAAACTATCACAATTGTAATTCAAAGGTATTCTACAATAAATGATGAGTTTGCCTTCAGACAATGTATTCTATATAGCTAAAACAACACTTTATACAGATACAAGCCAGAGTGGTTAGTAGATAGGGCATTGAACTGGGAGTCAGGTGACTTAGGTTCAATTCAAGGCTCTGCCACTCACCTCTACTGTGGGCGCTTGGGAAAGTCACTTCTTCTCTGGGTGTTGTTTTCCTTCCTACTCTGTATTACCTATTTAGGTTGTAAACTCTTTGAAATAGGGACTCTCACTATGTGCATGAACAGCACCTACCACACAGGGCCCTGATATAGGCACTACTGTAAAACAAATAACGATAAGTAAAAAAATACTGTAAAACACAGAACAAACCAACTTATGTAATGATGATAGACTTGCAGGTCTTAACCAATTTTGGAAGGGGAGAGGACTTAGAGATAATGGTTCCTTTAGAATGATGGATGTCTTATGAGTATACACACACTTCTACCCTTCACACATCTGATATCTGCCACTCTCAAGAGGTCACACTTGAGAAATCATAAGCAATAAGAAACAGATCAAAAGAGAGGGAGGGCAGGAGTGAGCATACATAATTTTGGCATTTATTATTTCATGGCAGGCCATAAGACTATGGTATGGCAGAAAGCTGCATCTGCAGATAGGAGCATGTCTGGCCCAAATGATAGCAATCCAGCCCAGGATCACTTATACTGAAAGATGATGGAATGCACCAGTGATCAAACAGCTGCCCTACAGATTTCTTTATGCTCTGTTTCCTTCTGTCCATGATGTGGAGAATGCTCTGACTGAATGAGCTTTTGAGTCTTGAGGAGGAATTTTGCCAGAAGAAAAGTAAGTAGTCTAATGGCCAATTTGATCTATCAGGAAGGTTTCTTTTATGACAGCCAAGCAGAGGTAACAGCACATAGGTCTATTTCCAACCCCAAGATCTTCCTAGATAATACTTAAAAAAACTCAGCATAAGGACCTCAAAAGCAATGAAGAGTTTTGGGAGAGGTTCAGGTTTTGGTGAAAGGGATGATCACTCAGAAGGGAGAGATCTGAATTGCACTTTTAATTACTGTCCATTGACAAGGGGTATAAATTTAGGATTAAATACTCCCCTCAATCCACAGTAAAACTCCCAATAGAACTTTCTGAAAATGTCCAAGGGTAGACTACGACTTTAATGTGTAACTGAATTGTTTTGTTATTATTTGTTCAATATCACATTCAGCACTCCATGGGACAATATATCAACTTTAAGATTATTGCTATCTCTGACCTTTGTTTCCCACCCTTCGGCTTCATCCTTTTTTAGTTTCCTTTTTCTTCTCTGTCTTTGTCTCTCTCCTGTTTTCCCTCTGCATTTCTTTCCCTGTACCAATTCTCATTTCAGAGCCTCATGGGCTTCAAACTCCCCTTTCCCATTATATCTAAGATACTGTTTTCCCTCCTACTCTGTCTTGTCTATTTAGATTGTAAACTCTGAAATAGGGACACTCACTATGTGCATGAACAACATACCACACTGGGCCTTGGTATAGGCCCTGATATAGGGCTGTAATATCTGAGCACCTCACAAACTAATATTTGTATCCTCATAACACTTCAGTGAGGTACAGAAGTGCTATTATCCCATTTTAAAGTTGAGGAACCAAGACATGGAGAGACTAAGTGACTTGGCAAAGTCCACACAGGCAGTTTGTGGCAAAGTAAGAACTGAATCCAGATCTCCCAAGTCCCAGGCTAGCAACCTAAACACTGGACCACCCTACTGCTCGCTAAAACAATTCCATCCTCTAAAAAATGATCATCAATAACACAATTAATGCTGACATTACAGTATTGCCACTGGGAAGTAGACTAAACATCCATGTACAACAGAAGGGTTGAAAAGAATGGTGGAACTGTATGGACTAGAAGTTTGTAGAGGGGCATCCCTCTTGAAAAGCCTTCCATAATTATCAGACTGAAATATCAGAGGACAAGGTTACAGAAATATTTCTGTATTTAGCAAATAAGAAAATGATCCTCATATTTCTTGTCAGAGGACTCTCTCTGAATGACTGCGATTTTACTTCTTTTTCCAACTCCTCGGGAAGGGCAGAAGCTGTTTGTGATTATAGTCTCATGTACCAATAATGATTGTCTGTTTATTGTTTCATTATCAGAAGGCACCAAGTATAATCATATGAGGCGTTACAACCCTGTAAGCTTTTTCTTCCCCGAGTATGGAATGAGGAAGCTGTTCAATATTTTTTATTTTCATCATTCAATTAGTGGTCCCTGCCTTATTTACTGCACACCATCCATGCCTGCAATGAATATAGAATTCATTTTCTAATGGTCTTTCCTAGTGTGCTCATCACCAAGTGCTTCACAAATATTTTAAGGTGCGTGCACAACTGATTGGAAAACTGTACTCAGAGAGTAGTTATCAGTGGTTCACAGTCAAACTGGAAGGGCATAACAAGTGGGGTCCAGTAGACATCTGTCCTAGTCCTGGATCTATTCAATACCTTCATAAATGATTTGGAGAATGGCATACAGTACACTTATAAAGTCTGCAGATGATACCATGATGGGAGGGGTTGCAAGCACTATTGCCAGAGGTATTGAGCATTCACAGCTCTGATTGACTTCAGTTTCATTTATGAATGTTCAACACGTTTACAAGTCAGGCCCCAGCTATCTCAAGACGGCTACACAGAAAATGAGGAACACAGGATTAGAGGTCACCTGTCAGAAATTTGGTTTAAGTGACTTGTTGAGCAACACATAAGATTGTGGCAGGGGGAAGGACAGATTTCAGTTTTCTTAGGTGGCATTCACCTTAACAACAAGCCAAGCCTTTCTCTTCATGCAGTCTGTTACCTTATTCTCCACACACCTTACAGAGCAAATGAGTTACAGATCCTTCAAACAGCCTCAATGATTATACAATCCTGATTCACTCCCTGAACACCATCTATCCTGTACACTAAATGAGGCTGCGATCCCATGGAAAAAAAATAGTACGTGACCGTGTAACAAAAGACTGTTTCATAATGTACACACCTGCCAGGTGGATTAAGGAATTAAGGCTGAAGTGGCAACCTGCATTCTGGCATTTCCTAACATCCGAATACTTGATTTTTCAATCTTAATGAGGTTTGTTAAATTTTTTTGTATGTAATTTCCTAGACTTTTTTTTAAAAGGAAAGGGTAAAAACAAATTCTGTCATGTGCCACTGAAGAAACTTATAATGCCTCATCATCACTTAGGTTTGAACCCTGAATTTTCAACATTATTGCACACCTTGAAGTACAAGATAACTAAATTAGCTGGCAGCAGGAGAAGGCTGTTTTCCCAGCAGGGGAATGACCACCAAACCTATTTGCTGGATCTGGGCAAGTAGTCAGGGACAGCCTGGCACGCTCTGCCTCCCCCCCAGGAAACAGAAGTTTCCTTCCCATGTGATTTCCCCACCCACGGAGAGGGGAGATGAACCATGTGCTAGGTTCAGGGATGCCTGACCAGGTTCTCTCCCTTCTCATTTGCCAGAGCGGAGATCTGCTATAAGGTTCCCATTGCAGTGTCTGCTGCTGCTGCATTAGCCCAGACTTTGAGACTATTCATGTTCAGTTATTTCTGCAAGCTGACAAAACTTTGCTTATGATGTAACCAACAGAAAGGAAATGGCGATTTTCAAAGGTTATACACCTCAGTCAACAGAATTTAATGGAGAAAAGAAAAGGCACTTTTCTGGCCTCAGGGCTTTCTCCCTGCTGAATTTAAAAGGCCTGCTGCATACAACTGAGGCGTTAGAGTTTCAAAAAAAAAAAAAAAAAATGTTCTATAATAGAAAGTGTTCAGCAACCTTAATATAGGTCAAATCTAGTTCTCTCTAAAAAGCTAAAGAATCAGGGTAGCTGACGTGCCAGTTTCAGACAGGGGTATGTGTATAAGTTCATACCCTATTTCTGGAGTTTAAGCAAATGCAACAAAACATCCTTACATTTAGCAAAACTATCATTTCAAAATAGAAACTGTTGCTAGCCCCTCATGTGCTTATGTTCTGCATCAGTGTTAAATATGTGCAGACTAAGATGAGACTATGGCCTTAAATATTTAGGACTGCAGAATTATTTTCCCTAAGCCCTTGACAAAATAAAAAAAATTCTGTATTTCCCCCCAATCAGCCCCAGTTGGGCTTGAGATCTGAGTTGTGGATATTCACCTTGTTATGAGCAACTACTTTGAGAGCAAAAGTTGCCAAATAGAGGGAATTCATGACAAAACTAAGCTGATTACGAGATTCTTCTAAAAAGTCTTCCAGGCCTTCATACCAAAGTCTTTTGACATCTGACCACACCATTCCTGGTGGAGAGAAAAAGAAAACAAAAAGATGTCACTGTATTATACTGTATAGGCTTTCTACTAGTTCTAGTGTGTTCCAGATGGGTGTTTTGTTTTGCTTTTAAACTAAAATAAGGGCACCTACTTCTTTTCGAAGTGTTTTAGTGAGAAGGAGGAAAGGGGGAATTTTGTACATCTATCTGAATAGTATTGAGTTTTGTCCTCCCTTTGTCCAGACACAAAATCTTGTCAAATATGTGTTGCTCATAGAATTACTCATGAAGCATGGAATATATCTTTAGTGCACAGTCTCTACTGGTATACTGGAAGCTGGTTTAAATATGCTAGGTCTATTGTTTTTCCTTAAAGAGGCTTCTTTCCACCTGTGGATTAAATCATTATCACTCCTAATCTTACTAGAAATTTCTCTGGATTTTACAATTTATTAGGGCTGTCAAGCGATTAAAAAAATTAATCAGGATTAATCGCACTGTTAAACAATAATAGAATACCATTTATTTAAATATTTTTGGATGTTTTCTACATTTTCAAATATATTGATTTAAATTACAACACAGAATACAAAGTGTACAGTGCTCACTTTCTATTTATTTTTATTACAAGTATTTGCACTGTAAAAAAAAGAAATAGTATTTTTCAATTCACCTAGTACAAGTACTATTTATTTATTTTTATTTACTATAGTGCAATCTCTTTATCATGAAAGTTGAATTTACAAATGTAGAATTATGTCCGAAAAACCTGCATTCAAAAATAAAACAATGTAAAATTTTAGAGCCTAGAAGTCCACTCAGTCCTACTTCAGCCAATCGCTCAGACAAACAAGTTTGGTTACAATTAGCAGAAGATAATGCTCCCCACTTCTTGTTTACGTCACCTGAAAGTGAGAACAGGCGTTCACATGGCACTGCTGTAGCCAACGCTGCAAGATATTTACGTGCCAGATGCGCTAAAGAATCCCTTCATTCTTCAACCACCATTCCAGAGGACATGTTAATGACAGGTTCTGCTTGGTAACGATCCAAAACAGAGCGGATCGACGCATGTCCATTTTTATTATCTGAGTCAGATGCCACCAGCAGAAGGTTGATTTTCTTTTTGGGGGGCTTGGGTTCTGTAGTTTCCGTATTGGAGTGTTGCTCTTTTAAAGTCTTCTGAAAGCATGCTCCACACCTCGTTCCTCTCAGATTCTGGATGGCACTTCAGATTCTTAAACCTTGGGTTGAGTGCTGTAGATTTTTTTTGTTACATAACTGCACTCAAAAACAAAACAATGCAAAACTTTAGAGCCTATAAGTCCACTCAGTCCTACTTATAGTTCAGCCAATCACTAAGACAAATAAGTTTGTTTACATTTACAGGAGATAATGCTGCCCACTTCTTATTTACAATGTCCCCAGAAAGTGAGAACAGGCATTCGCATGGGACTTTTGTAGCCAGCATTGCAAGGTATTTACGTGCCAGATATGCTAAACATTTGTATGCCCCTTCATGCTTCGGCCACCATTCCAAAGGACATGCTTCCATGCTGATGATGCTCGTTAAAAAAATAATGCATTAATTAAATTTGTGACTGAACTCCTTAGGGGAGAATTGTATGTCTCTGGCTCAATTTTACTCGCATTCTGCCATATATTTCATGTTATAGCAGTCTCGGATAATGACTCAGCACATGTTCATTTTAAGAACACATTTGCGGCAGATTTGACAAAATACAAAGAAGGTACCAATGTGAGATTTCTAAAGATAGCTACAGCACTCGACCCAAAGTTTAAGAATCTGAAGTGGTTTCCAAAATCTGAGAGGGACGAGGTCTGGAGCATGCTTTCAAAAGTCTTAAAAGAGCAACACTCGGATGAGGAAGCTACAGAACCCGAACCACCAAAAAGGAAAGTCAACCTTCTGCTCGTGGCATCTGACTCTGATGATGAAAATGAACATGCGTCGGACCACACTGCTCTGGACTGTTATTGAGCAGAACCTGTCATCAGCATGGATGCATGTCCATGATGGTTTAAGCATGAAGGAACATATGAATCTTTAGCGCATTCGGTATATAAGTATCTTGCAACGCTGGCTACAACAGTGCCATGAGAACACCTGTTCTCACTTTCAGGTGACATTGTGAACAAGAAGCAGGCAGCATTATCTCCTTCAAATGTAAACAAACTTATTTGTCTAAGCGATTGGCTGAACAAGAAATAGGACTGAGTGGACTCTTAGGTTCTAAAGTTTTACATCGTTTTATTTTTGAATCCATTTTTTTTTTGTACATCACTTTACCTTTGTAAGTTCAACTTTCATGATAAAGAGATTGCACTACAGTACTTGTATTAGGTGAATTGAAAAATACTATTTCTTTTGTTTTTTTACAGTGTAAATATATGTAATAAAAATAAATATAAAGTGAGCACTGTACACTTTGTATTCTGTGTTATAATTGAAATGAATATACACCTCTACCTCGATATAACGCTGTCCTTGGGAACCAAAAAATCTTACCGCGTTATAGGTGAAACCGCATTATATCGAACTTGCTTTGATCCACCGGAGTGCGCAGCCCCGCCCCCCCGGAGCACTGCTTTACCGCCTTATATCCAAATTCGTGTTATATCGGGTCGTGTTATATCGGGGTAGAGGTGTATTTGAAAATGTAGGAAACATTCAAAACTATTTAAATAAATAGTATTCCATTATTGTTTAACAGTGCGATTAATCGCGATTAATTTTTTTAATCGCTTGACAGGGCTAATACATACCTATACTATCACCAATCCACAATGTGATATTACTTGCTGGTACTTTTGAGTAAATACGGTTTAAAAAATGCTTATGAATTATTTAACAGTTTTTAGATTTCTAGACATTCAACAAAATCACCTCACAAAGTATATATTTTTAAAAGTAATAGAATCAATATAGACACAAACTGTAAACTTTGCAACACTAGTATTTTACAAACTTCCAATCAAACAAATGAGGATATAGATTACATGTCTGTCTATAGTCTTTTAAGTATTAACATATGTTAAGGCTGTTAGAATTTGGTTCTCAAAGTCCTAGAGATTTCAACTTTAAAAGAAAACCATTAAAAGGGCTGACAAATTCATAAAACAGAACAGTGAAAGTTTTGGGACCTACTCTACTCAAAAGCAGTATCTGTGCTCCCTCTACTGGTTCTGCACCAACCACAATTAACTTGCAAATATGCTTCTCTGGGATGTGTTGATATTATCAATGATATTGGTATATAAAAAGGAAGTACATATAATGGAGACAAATTTAAAATACCATTAGAAAACAAAAGGAGAAAGAGGAAAATCAATGATTTTCATATACCAAATAAGAGGATTTTACATAAAAGACTAAAATCAAATATTTTTCTTCTTAAGCCATTTTCCAGTTCTGCAGTGGCTCTACCTTTTATCTGAAATTGAACTAAAAATCAAACATAGCAGAACTGGAAATGCAAGGCCAAGTTACCAATCTTTTTCTATACTGTCACACAGGAAACTGGGTTCAATTGGTGGTCTCCTCCTCCCTGGATTGTAGGGGACTAGACTGCTGCGGAGGTTTCCTATTTAAAACTTAGAAGGAAGAGATTTTGCACTGCTCAGCAGCAAACACTTGGACCAAATTCCATCCTTTTTTTTTTTTTTTTTTTTTTTTAAAAAGCTGCATCAATAAAGGGCCTTGAGTAGGGAAAATATAGGTAAATCCTCATGGCTCCAGAGATCCACAACTCATACAGTAACAAAATCAATTTGAAATAGAAGAAAACACGGTATAGGAGTTGATTGAGCTGAAATAATTACATATTTATTCCAAGAATCTGTAAGTATTTCAACCCAGATAAATTTTATCAACTTGCATAAAGTGCATGAAAAGTTTTAACTGAATGTGTTTTTCCAAGAAGCTTAATATGATCTTTTAAGTTACATTTTCTCTACCTTTTGAAACTTTTAACTACCAATACTGAAATTCTATCAAACATCAGCCTAATTTCAAACCTTGCCCCAAGTCACAAGAGAACCAAGATCACTTTAAAAATTCCAAACGTAAGCTACATTTTTGTAAAAAAAAGAGAAAAAGAAAAGCAGGACTTAGCAGAAATTAAACAGCTGCTTTGTAGGTGGCTGACCAAAAAAACCTATTGGCTCACAATGGCTGAACAGCCGACATAACAAACAAAACGACCCAATCATGAAAAGGGTGTTGAAAATTAAGATGAACTCTGAACTCTTAATTTTCAATTTGGCATCAATGAAAAAAATCACTAGCAATCTCTCACTATCTCTTATGGAGGGAGTAACTAATCATATCAGGAACACGTGCTTACTTTTTTTGTCATTATTTAAAATAGTCCCACAACTTAGTTAAAATACATAGTTCTCACATTATCATCTTAATATCCCAAACCATATCCCACATGATCATTCTTGCCTGAGACAGCAGCACTCTACCAAACCTTCCAAAATAGCATTCCTGGTCACTCCCTCTGGCAGGGAGCTCTATGAAATGTTACTTTCTTTGACTACTAAGAATTGCTACATTAGATCATAAGTATGTCACTTCCTTCACCCTTTATCCTCCAGCCAGGCAAGGGATGCCAAGCATTGATTGGAATTCTCATTTTCTACAGAGTAGCACACAACATTATTGCTGGATCAATGAAATGGCCAATGTCAGAACCTTTTGTCTAACTTTTTATCCATCTGATACTTACCAATAAGCCATATTATCAGAAGATAGTCTATTCTCTCAAGTGCTGGCCCCATTGTATTCTTCTTATCCTCATTGTAGACCAGTGAATACAAGTTAAGTAACAGCAGGAATGTGAAATATGAAGCTCCATGAATAATAAACTTCATAAAAGGAGTGTGAATTATTCGACCTACTCGAGATTTAGGGGCTAATAAGTAACAGAGAGACAGAACTGGCCAAAAGATGCCAACTGTCAAAACAGTCAAAATCTTCTTACACGTGTGCTTGCGTCGGTAGCCTGCCATTTGTCCAAACCACACAGTGTTGAGAAACTGCTGGCAGTTAGACTGGGCAACAAACTGGGGAAAAAAACAAGCCCTGATTAAGGTAACCATTATTAAAAATCTATACTCAAGCCATTATAAGTCAGTTATAGATCATACGGTATTACACATTTTCTGCTAAGCAAGTAGAAATAATTATCTTGAAAGAATAACTTTTAAATGTTACTTTTTAAAATGTTAATATGGAGACAAAAGGAAAATATTAGTAAGATAATCACAAATATGAATTATTTTCACCTCCTTTCCCACCCACAAGTTTAGAACATGGATTCCACAGCACTAGTTTTTTTTATGGATATCAAGAATAGATCTCTTGAGAGGCCAGGATAACAGTAAGATTAAGAATGATTTAACTGTTTTTTTTTTTTTAATCATTTAGAAAACTGTTATACAGACCTAAAAGCCATGCCATTTTCCAAAACTTGCTGCTTCCTATGGGACTGATTCTGTGAGGTACTATGTGCCCCCAAAGTTCACTAACATCATTGTGTTGTGCATTGTGTTGTCTTTGCCATTAACAGGAATTAAGGACCCTCAATGCCTTACAGAATCAGGGCTAAAATGACCAAGTAATCCTATACCAGTCAGATCTACCTTTTAATTTTTATGGCTCTAATTCGGGAAAGAACTTAAGCTGTCACTTAAAGTTAACCTTGTTTTTAAGTGCTTTGCTAAATCAGGGCCCACACAAGCAGGAACTTTCAGTCTGAAATATTATGTAGATCAACGGATTTAAACAAAAATTCTGTTAGAAAAGTACATGTGTCAGAAACTGTTTGTATTTCAGTACAGTTTGAAGTTTAATTTCAAGATGAATAGAAAAAATAATTCCTCCTTCACAACCATAATAGTTCAGAAAGCCTATCATGAAAAATTCCCACTATAACAAACCTGCCAGCAATAAAATATTTATTTATGAGGGAGGGAGAGAGGGATGGATGGATCTTTTCTCATACCACACAGGAAAAAAAGATGCTATATTTCATCTAATCACAGTGGTAAAAAAGGTATGATCAAAAACTGAAGTGCATCTGAAATACTTTTTGTATGTTTGCTTAACAGTTATCTGTGACACATAATAGTCCAGTCTCTTGTGGGTTGTAATACTTTGGTCTAATTGTTGGGTTTAGGGTGCGAGTGCTGGGTGATGGTGGTGGCGGCATCTGATATACAGGAGGTCAGATCAGATTATTTGGTGTCCCTTCTGGCCTTAAACTCTATGACACTGTGGCTGTAAGTATGGCAAATTCACTCACTGTAGATAGTTTTGGGGTTGGTTTTTTTATACGACCTGTCAAATTTTTCTTACTTTGCCTATCTGTAAATTTTGATTGCCGTTGAAGGAAATATTGTTTAATCAGTTTGTGTGTGTACAGTGAAATCTATATTTACCGACAAAAAACTAATCCTTTCAAGCCTATCTATAATAAATTAATAGAGAAAGACCGAAATACCTCCTTTTGGTTATACTTGATAGCAAGTTTTAGGCGACTCAAATTCATCCTCTCTTCTAACAATCCTCGTTTGTCCACATGCTCATCACTAGCTGTATGGTTTAGGATAACTTCCAGCTCCCGTGAGTTCCGTGCCTGTGCAAGTAAATCTTTAGCAAAGGTTTTGCATTGCTGGGCTAGTTCCTCATAATCATTTCTAGAAAATACAAAAGTAGCAGATATTAATGTATCTCTGACTCAGACTTCAATATACACATTAATTATATCTCTTAATTGGGGGGATGGAAAGTTATGCTTAACAAAACTGAGTTATATGAATCTGTTATGTAAAATTAGGGCACAACAGCACTTTCTAAAGCCATTCACAGTGAAGTCAGATCTATGCAAGTTTCCAGTGTGACAATGGACTTCAATTCTGTGTGCACCATCCTTTGTATCCTAATCTTACGGATCTATGGAGGTGAAATTACTAAACAGAGCTGTAGTCTAATAATATTTGCCTTCTTTTTACTTGTAACTTAAGAGTTTCAATCTCCACAGGTTAAAATGTACACTTCCCAGTCTCCCTCACAAAAATTTACTAACAGTCACAATCTTCTTACGATAGTTCACGGCATGGGAAAAGGTTGACCATTTCTTATGTACGGTAATTTCTTATCTTATGATAATTCACAGCATGGGAAAAAGTTGAGCATTTCTTATGTAGGAATTTTTTAAAATCCCACCAGTTCACAGTTAAGTCTATTTGTTGGAACTGATTTATTAAATTCATAGAATTATAGATACAGAGAAAAAAAATCACACTTTCTGCTGGTCTCACCAGGGAATGTGATATACTTCAATACAAAAGTTATCTTCACATAAGAGCAAGAGTTGAACCCTCACTGAGAGAGAATAATGCCCAAACGAAGAAACTAGATTTAGGAAATTGATATTTTGCCTTGGACAAGAAAAGTATATCTACATGAGATTAGGAAATGATGGCTAAGATAGTTATCCCCTACATTTCTGCGACCCTTTTTAATTACAGGGAATATAAAGAAAGCAAGTTATAGTTTAATGGACGTGAACATGCAGAGAGAAAGCTAATAGAACTATAAGTGGATCTTTCAAATTATCATCTGATCCTTTATGAATACAATATTGAAGTATTTGTGTCTGAGGGAGATGGGGAGACAGGACAGAGAGAAACCTTGAAACAAAATTTTTAAATTGGTTCCATTTGTATCCTTGTTCAAAGATTTCACTTTTTTCCTTCAACCATTTTATTTTTTAAAAATTGTGACTAAGATACAACCACTGCATTTTTGTTGCAATACAGATACAGAGACTCAAGACTGTGTGCTCAGATAAGCATTTCTGAAGAGAATTAGGAAGAGCCATGTGACTCACGCAACAATTCAAATGTAAAGCTTAACCTCTTTTTACTACAGTATAACTTTTACAAAATTTCTGATGCGGTTATGACTAGCCATTCCAATGCATGAAAGATTTTTTTTTTTTTTTAATTACTTGAACTTTTTTTTTAAATGTACCTAATAATGGTAAATAAGTAGTTTTTTTCAGAGCAGCCTTGTATTTTAAAAATACACTGATGTGTTTAAAATAGTGGTTTAATGTATTATCCTTATAAAAAGGAATGTTTCTAAAGAGATCTCCATTTACAACAGAAAGCAAAAATTAGATACAAGTTAATCTATTATATCAGAAATATACTCCTACTACTGGTCGCAACATACACTGGAGGTTGTATTATTGAAGCATATCTCACAGCAGAATAGAGTATTAAGATATTGGGGCTGTAACTTCAGTATGAAAAGCAATGTCAGGGCAGAGCCTAAACTTGTTTAATCAGCTAAGACTACTACAATATTAAAAATAATATTGTGATTTTTTGGTGTGTCTTGATTTTTTAACTTCCACTTCCTCCCACAGATAGGCAATTAGCATCGCCAACTCTCCCAAATGTATAGTAAGGTGATTTTGGCCGCTGCTGCAGGAGTTCTCAGTTCCACATTTTCCTGCCCCCTCCCAATGCCAAATCAATTCTGTCCCCCAAGTTCCCACATCATATCAATTCTGTGCCCCCCATCTCAGATCTGCTCCTTCTGCAGCTCCAGGAGGTCTTCAGCGTCTTTACAGTTTTTCCTTATTAGAATAAGCCTGTGCTTTAAGTCTTAATGGTCTTATAAACTAACATCTAACAGCAGTTCTTTAGCTTGTATCATTTTATTCCCTTCTCTTTACAAAAGGCTAAATCCAACCTCTATATGAATACTTTAAATAGAAGTGGTAATTAACAGTTGCCAAATATTTTGAAATTTTTAACAGGAAAAAGCCTGCTTAGTTTAACACAAAATCATGTGGCTTGTTAGTTTATAATATAGACATGGCGGTTTTGGTATCAAAGATTTATTTATTTATTTATTTTTACATTTTAGTGTTCATATAGAGTAAGCAAAGAGAAAAAAAAACAAACCTGTTCAGACTCCGTGTGGATAAGTGCTGTATAGTGTGTACATGAACCCCAATCCTGACTTGCAGAATTCCTTGATATGTTAGTCCTGGCAAATTACACAATATGTTTGAGATATGAGTAAGCTAGAAATTGTGTGGGCTAGGAACTAAGTGTTGTGGTGTTCAACTAGTTTTTAATATCAATTCACTTCAAATTTCAACTCAGATCTGGGGAGGTGAAAAGCTGATGACACTAAACACACTCAAGTGTGGATCAAATGATTAAGGCTATGTGTACACTAGAGAGCTTACAGTGGCATCGATGTACCGATGAAGCTGCGCCGCTGTAAAATCTCTCATGGACTATTTAAACCTCTGAGCGACATAAATTTTGCTGACATAAATGGTAGTTTAAACATTGCCAAAACTTTTTCATTTTGCCATTCTGAGGCTGACACTGCTCAGCAATGTGTTCAAAATGTGTTTGATTATTCATCAGTCTTAATTCATTCCCCACCATTATTCTCAATCTGATTTTTTTAAATAGCTAACTACAGTGCTAAACAAACAAAAAAACCCACAAAAACATGAGCTATGTGGAAAACAAAATAGAGATAAAAGTAAGTTTGTATTTCTTTTCATTCCTACCTGAATTCAACTTCGACAAGACTTAGCTCTTTTAAGTCTGCACTAAGTTCAAAAGCTCTCAGGATTGGATCCTCCTCTGTCAACATTATTAAGGCAGGACTGGCCAAACAACGATAGATGTCAAGACGAAATCTGAGACGAAAGGTTCAGAGTAAGGCAACTTCTTAAGATGAAGCAGCTTCATTTGATTAGCATTTGCAAATCACAATATGTCTTGAAAGCTCAGAAAAGCTAAAACTAATTTAAAGAGAGATTACAGCCATAAAATCGGGGGTAGGGGTTCATAAATCTCACTAGGTAGGGTGCTCGCATCTACTTTGAAGTCAATTGCAAAAGGACAAAAGGAAATTAAAGTTCCATTTATACTCTCCCAGAGCATTTATGCCTGCTGATTTTTATTTTTATTTTAGGCCTAAAGACAACAAACTGGGTCACTTAGAGTTTTGAAGTGAGAAGCATTTAATGTGATGTGTCAAAGGAGGAAAAGATTTTGAGTCCAATTCTGTAGTCCTTCTTATATGCAGAACTCCCACTATTTTAAATGGAGTTTATATCATGGAAGGGCTGCAACACTGGCTCGCTCTCTTCTCCTCACTGCTATTCCAACCACAGTCAGTACAGCAGCAGAAGACATCAGTTAAAGTAATGCTTGTTCCAATCAGACAGCAGGACTGGTAAATGACATGAATTTCAAAGGTGCATGGTCACATAGCATTAATCATGACCCACAGAAAGAAAGTCAAAAGGAATGTATTAAATAGGACAGAGGCCTCAACTTTATTAAATGAATCTCAAAGCAATGGAGAACAGGAAGCAAAATGCCTCCATTTGGGTCCAGTATGGTAAAACTGTTGACAGTAACCAAGAGGGAAGGAAGACAACATCCTTATACCCCACCCTTGTTCGTGAGAGTACTCACTAGTGTGACTTAGCTTGTATGAGATTTAAGACCACCCTCATTCCAAACCAACCCAGGTTGATGCCAGTAGCCTTCTGGGTTCCATGCTCAATTTTTTACCCCAAGAGCATGTTGCCCATTCAGTCTAAATGCACTGGACACCAGCTGCAAGTTGCAACAAAGTTTTGGGTTTGTTTTTCCCTCCCTTTTAACTACCTTACCTAACTAGCCAGAACTCTGGGTTGCTATGAGGAAGGTTAAAAAAAAAAAAGACATGATCCTATCTTGTGTGGTGGGGGAATGATCAGGAAATACTCTTCATCTATGTAATGACCCGTAATTCTCATCCTGCTAATATCAGATTGTTGTAGTATGTAAAATAAGTATGAACTTTAAAGGAAAATTAATGGTCTGTAAGTACAATAAAAATAAACTTCATAATCCGTTGCATAAACATAGTCCAAGAAAGTTTTTAGTTACCAAGATTTCCATCAAAGATCTTTAAAAAGCAATGTAAAAATTATTTTGGAAACTAGAAGGATAAATTCCAATTTAAAAATATCTGTTGTTAATGGATCAAAAATCAATTTCTAACTATTTCCATTAGACAAGGAAATAAGTGTTTCACTTAAATGCAAAACAGATCAGCTAGAGAGGATGTAAACCTAGTTAAAAACTTTTTTAAAGACTAGAATATAAAATTAGTAAAAGTCTTTCCAACTCATGCTCTGCAACTGAGAATTTTAGGTTCCATCAACACTACAATTTTTACTTATTATATTGAACTAAACAGCAACCAGCAAAATGTTTAAAAAATAAATCACACGCTAATTTGTCATAAGATTTCAAAAGGTCAGAGCTTTGAGGATAATTTGCTCCACTGTGCTCTAGTCTTGAGTGTCATGAGAACAATAACGGAAAAAAAAAAAAATCTGTAAATGCGGTAACTTATAGTTAATACAATAGCTCTTTTAAATTATCATCACAATTAGAGTTTTACCTCATGTAATCCACATTGTATCTGCAAAGGAAGTGTCAGCAATTTCTATAAAGTCAGAATACCGAAGTCCAGAGAAAGTAGCAAATGTAGGTGTGTTAATCTCATTTACAGCACTGCTTTTCCCTTTGCAAAATGTATATGTAATTTCACAGTTCCAAAACATGTGCATCATACTTCCCACACCACCTTTACACTTCCACTCTGGAACAAAGTTGTCAAGTCAAATCTCAATAGTTCATTTCAGTTTCAGCTACATGTAACTATCTTAGGTATTTCTAAGGCTACGTCTACACTTTTGTCAGTCAGGGGTGTGGGAAAAAAAAAAAAAAAAAACCCACCCCACCCCGTCTGACAAAAGCAACAGTGTGGTCACTGCCGACATAGCTACCGTCGCTCATTGGGGTGGTTTAATTATGCGGTCATGAGAGAGCTCTCCTGCCAGCACAGAACAGCTACACAGGAGACCTTACAGTAGCACAGCTGCAGCAGTAGAGCTGTATCACTGTAAGGTCCATAGCGTAGACATAGCCTAAATCACTGATGTCTTGGGGTAGATTCTGATACTCTTACTTATACTGAAGTCAATGGGAATACTCGTGGAGTAAGGTACTACCCAATGTGGGTAAGGGTATCAGAATATTGCCCTTGGTATTTGAATGCCAATACCAGTGCTTTCAATTTAGTTTTGAGCCATTTAGACACACACGAGTTGCTCAAAATGTAAGACTGTAGCTACGGTCCACTTATACTACCTTTATGTGTGTGGGAATTATTCCATAAACGCTTCAAATATCTAATCATTTCCAGTCTTGAAGTATTTTGTTGAGTTTAATAAATAAAATTTGTGGTTTGAGTCAGCAAACTGCTTTTCCATTTGCACCCTTACATCATAATTACATAAAATGTAAAATACAAAATTCCATTTAATTTTACAAGTTTGGAATTTTAGTTCTCCATTTTCCAAAGTAAATTCCGATAATCTATTGCTTAGGCTTACAACCCTCCTTCTAGCATAAATTACAATTATTGATAGAAATTAGTTAACTTACTATATATGAATTTTTCTCTTTTTTCTTCATGAAATTAGTTAATAAAAATACTTTATTTTTATTTGCAAATTTTATTTCTATGGCTCCCGCACCCAAAAATCCCCAACACCTCACAAAAAGACATATTTAAAACAAATCTGAATAAACACCTTCAGGTCATAGAGGGAAACTGAAGGAAATCCCATTGACCTCCACTAAGGCATACCAGCTCAATCTATCCCCTAATAAACATATAAGATAAAATACACCTCTAAACCCCAATTTAAAGAGAGACATGTCAAACCTGACTCTGAATGATGCCATAGATATATGTAGTTTGGTATACCTTGAGGATTTTTTGTTATTACCAAGATCTGATATTTCTGACCTGGAGTGCCGTAGGCTATCTTTTTTGTTCTTTGCCGTGCACAAGGTGCATTCACAGCCAACAGCGTGAGGTTTGGGTAGAGATATATCCTGTTTTAACAGCATAGTAAGGATCTCATAGTTGTTACGATGAGCAGCTAGAATGACAGGTGCTACATCCATAGTCGTTGAGTACTCTGGGTTCTGAATACGCTCCATAAGTTTCTGAAATAACATTTAGACAAGTGTTTTAGATTATCACATGCAACTTTATTAAAACGTTTATCTATAAAAGTTAGTGTACAACATGATTGATCAACATAGGCCACAGTGAACTTCTGATTAAAATATTCCCCCCACCAATAATCTTGATTTCACAAATTTGTAAGCTATCTAAATACTGGAAATTGCCTGCCTTCTACAGATACAATTACACTATTGTCTCATTTCAGTTCTCAGAGGACAAATATTCACATTAATTATGGTCAGCAAAAAGGACAGTCTTCATGAAGACTGAACCCTCACATTACCAGAAACTGTCCCTCAATTAGGGTTAAAGAACATTAACAGAGCTGTGTGGAAAGACTACTCAGCTGCTCCTCACATTGCACCTGTTCTGAGGATAAAGAAAGAACTTTTAGTCTTTAGGGCAATAATTTTGGTGCCTTTCACCTATACAAAATTCATATGAGCAATGAAAAATAAACATTTAATTTTTGCAACCTGCATTACTTGGAGAGACCTAGATGGAAACAGCAGCATTTTCCCCCACGTATTGTAAAGGAGTTCTCTCTATATGTTCCATTACTTCTCTGATAAAATTCTATATGTCCATACTCAAGTCTTTTTTTTTTTTTTTTAAATTCATTTACTTTAAAATCGGAGCTCACCCCTTCTATAATGTAATTCCCACTTAAAGAAAAGTTTACTTTCTTGATTTCCTCAACATACTGTGAGAAACATGAGACAATGACTTTAGCAAAATAAGAGTCCTTCAGAACTTTGGGGAATCCTGGCTGCTGAGGAAGAAATAATTTATAATTCATAACAAAAGCAGGTGGTCAGTATCACAAATTTTTTTTCTTCGTGAGTTGGAGAAGATAATGTTCACGCTCCATTCACTCATGACTTTGCTTCATTCTGCAATTTGTGAGGCAGTCATCCCTAACACAAAATAAAATACGCAATTCATAACCCACCCACAGGCAATCTCTCTTGAATTCTGCTTTGTACTGTACCAACATGGAATACTCAGAGCTATATATATTGTAAGGAATACTACATTGAAAGGGAACAGTGTTAAGGTTAAATGAAATCCACTTATATATTCATGAGCCATTTACATACAAAAATTCAACCATTTTGTAGCTCTGAGAGAGACAGCCTGGTACAATACGTAAGAACCCCAACTGTTTTCTTTTAAGACCCCTATTTCATTGTCTCTCTTCCTTTTTTATTTCCTCTTGGAAGAAAACTTAAAAGATTAAAAACATTTTCCACATGGAAATGTCAGAATGAGAATCTTGTTATGAGGAAAGAAAATTGTTAAAAGTTGCCCATAGAAAAATATAATTCAGTATCTTTTTTTTTTTTTTTTTTTAATTTTCATTAATAAATTCGTGTTTTTTTCTTGGGTGAATTTTTTTGTGTGCCAATTCCAGTATTCAGGTGCAGAAAAGCTATACACAACTGATTTGTAATGTGCACGTGTACACACGCACACTCACCTCACTCACTCCTGCAGCATTACAGACATGCTTACTCACTACAAGGTTTTTCCACTCAGTAAAACTTTTTAAAGCACCTTGATATTTAATGATTGTAAGGAAGGATCTCAAATTATTAGTTTTAAATGAAGGTAGAAATTTCAGATGAATCTTAAGTTCAGTGAAGTTTTACCCAAAATATACGGTTTTTTGTCAGTCAGACCTGCCAATAATTTGTACTACAACAAGGATTTACGAGCACTGATTTTTTTCTTTTCATGTATGTATTATGATAGTTATCACTAACTTTAAATTAAGAGTGTAAATATACTATTCAAATCAAGATCTTTATATGAAGATCTGCAGCTGTAACAGGACAGAATTTAGACCTTAGTCTTCAGTTAATTTTTTACAGTCTCTTAGCCTTAGAGGATATTTTTTTTAATTTCTGGTGTACCGACTAAAATTAACAAGAATTAAGAGTACTAACTACAATAGTTGGTCTTGAGGATCGTTTTGGTCGATGATTAAGTAATATATCAACAGCTCCCACCACTTCTGAGTCAATCGCCACCAAAAGTGCATCTGTTGACTGAAGAGAGAAAATAGGAGGTTAAATCCGAAGCAACAGTAAAATAGATAGTATGCAAAAAAAAAAAAAAAAAAAAGTAGAATTTTGAAGTTAATGTAAACAGCAAATGGTGTACTCAACTACATAAAGAACTACAGAGATTTTTTTTTAAGAGACTGCCATAAAATGATGAAGATGCTAAAGAAAAATCACTACAATTATAGGCAGATATAAGAAATATGCAGGAGCAGATTAAATTCATTTTAGAATAAAAGTGATCTTAAAAACACCATAATGGAAGATAGATAGAAAACTAATACAAACAAGCTTCTCCTGCACTACTATTCTCCAGGGCCAAACCTGCAATCCTTGTTAATCTAAGCAAAGACACCGTAGCTCGAAGTCAGTACTAAATCCATAGGAGTGTGTCCCACTAAAACAATGCATAATCTGCAGCATTAAACAACATTATCCATCCACACTACCATGTATAGGGTGAAGATTCAAATCTTTGGGTCATTCTGTGAGTTAACATGGCGCTATGACAGTTTTGTTCCACTGCAAGAGTGACCAACAATGATCTGAAAAGGAAAGTGATCCTCCTCAACAAACTTCACCCCTAGGTCCTGGAAACAAGATATAATTTAAAGAAATGTGAGAGAAGGACCAACGTTGAGGGCTATTTAAAATGCCTATGTTGTATCCTGTCTGGGATGAGGGAAAAAGAGACACAAACCATTCAAGAAGGATCAAGGAAGAGTCTCTGGCTCCTTGCTGTTTTAGCAACACAAAATATAATTCCTACCTGGAATATCTCTACTTGGCGTGGTACAACTGTAGACGATCTCAGAGAACCATAATCAAGAATGAAGCTGTACAGGGTTGTACACTGATCCTTAACTACAGTAACTCCCCACTTAAAGTCCTCTTGCTTAACGTTGTTTCGATCTTATGTCCCTGCTCAATTACAGAACATGTTCTATTTAAAGTTGTGCAATGCTTCGCTATAACGTTATTTGGCTGCCTGCTTTGTCCACAGCTGGCAGCCCCCCATTAGCTCCCCTACATCCCCCCCACAGAGCCTCCCACCCACCGGTAGACCCTGTGGATCAGCGCCCTTCCCCTTCTCCCCCTGCCTCCTGCCCGCGGCAATCAGCTGGCTTGCAGCGTTCAGGAGGGAGGGGAAAGGACTCGGTGCGCAGGCTCCCCCTCCCTCCCGAACGCCGCAAGCCAGCTGATTGCCACAGGCAGGACGTAGGGGAAGGAGGGGGAAGCTTGCGTGCCGAGTCCTCGCTCCTCCCCCCTCCCTCCTTCCCCCTGAACGTCGCAAGCCAGCTGACTGCCACGACCAGGAGGGAGGGGGGAGAAGCGAGAATGCGGCGCACCTCCCCCCCTTGCCTCCTGCCCGCAGCAATCAGCTGGCTTGCGGTGTTCAGGAGGCAGGGGAGGGAGGGAGAGCCTGTGCACCGTGTCCTCGCTCCTCCCCCCTCCCTCCTGAACGCTGCAAGCCAGCAGGAGGCAGTGGAGGGAGGGGGGAGGAGCAAGGACGTGGCATGCGAAGTAAAGGGGGGGGAGAAGAGGCGGGTTAAGGGTGGAGGCTTGGGGGAAGAGGTGGGGTGGGCGGGCCGAGGGTTGAGCTCCCTGCCCCTGGTGCTTGCAGAGTAGGGGAAGCTGCCGCTGCTGCTGAGCAACGTGCTTCTCCTAGACTACAGCACCTTCAGCCTCCTTGCCTGCCTCATTGTCTCCAGTGCCAGTGGGCTGTGCCTGTGTGGGGTAAGGCGGAGGCACCTCCCAACTATAGTACTATACTGTACTGTATGGCAAAAAAAAATTTCCCTGGAACCTAACTCCTCCATTTACATTCATTCTTATGAGGAAATTGGATTCGCTTAACATCGTTTCACTTAAAGTCGCATTTTTCAGGAACATAACTACAACGTTAAGTGAGAAGTTACTGTATTCTGTTGCTTTGTAACTCTTCCCCCAGCCTCCACCATTTTTCAGCTTTACTGCTGATCAATCATAAATTTTAATAGCGATCATCTTTAGTTAAGCCAACCTTCCAAAATTCCATTAGCCTGCATGGAGCAAATAATTATTTTGAAAGTGGGAGTAAAATATCAGTTTCTCTACATTACCATCATGGTAAAGGTGAGAGGGTAAGTTCTGTCTGGGCTGGTAACTTTTCATGAGGCTTTTGCAAGGCTAAGTTAAACCACCTTTTATTTTTCACTTTACATTGTTCTTTGTAAACTTTACATTTTTGTTTAAAAACAAGGGGGAAGTTAGAATAGAAACTTGTCCCCTCTTAGCAGCAGGGGAAACAGCATCTTATCAAGGAAAGCTTGGTAGGCAGGACATGCTTCCACTGCCTGAAAGACAGTTAGAGAAAGCAGGCTTGGAGGGAGAGCTAGCCATCATCACAATCACATGAACAACCTGAGAGCAAAGAAGAATTGAGGGATGGCAAGAGATTCAGACAGAAAGCTTGTAAGTCAAAACTAAATATTCACAGGTAGATGCACTTTCATTATTCCACTGGATTAAAATCCCTGTCAGTCAGAGATCTACATTGAACCTTAGGGCTTGTCTTCACTACCCGCCCGGATCGGTGGGTAGAAATCCATCTCTTGGGGATCAATTTATCGCGTCTCGTCGGGACGCGATAATCGATCCTCGAATCGATGCGTGTACTCCACCAGCCCAGGTAGGAGTAAGCGCCGTCAACAGGGGAGCCGCGGCGGTCGATTTGCCGCCGTCCTCACAGCGGGGTAAGTCGGATCAGATACGTCGAATTCAGCTACACTATTCCCGTAGCTGAATTTGCGTATCTGAAATCGATCCCCCCCTGTAGTGTAGACGTAGCCTCATTCTAACCGTAGTGTGGAAAAGAAGCAACATTCTGCAATTCTGAAATGAAACAGGAAAAAAAAACTGTACTACTTCTTATATCATAATTAACTTTTAAGATCATGTAAAATGTAATTACACCTCTACCCCGATATAACGCGATCCGATATAACATGAATTTGGATATAAGGCAGTAAAGCAGTGCTCCAGGGGGGGCAGGGCCGCGCACTCCGGCAGATCAAAGCAAGTTCGATAGAACGCAGTTTCACCTATAATGCGGTAAGATTTTTTGGCTCCCGAGGACAGCGTTATATCGGGGTAGAGGTGTATTTAAGAATACACTGTACCTGAACTCTGAACTACAGAAATGTATGCTTGCTTTAGACTAGAGCTAAGATACTTGAAAAGAATATTTAATGTTCTAACTTCAATCTTCATCCATCCTAAAAGTTGTTATAATCTAGTGGCAAAGTGATATTTGCATTCTAAATATTTTAAGAATTTACAATTCCATTGCAGAATATTAAAAAGTAGTCAGTAATTTGTTTGGGGAACAACATGTGTACTTGCTCTGCAGCGCAAATAACCAAATTATTTCCAGAGCTCTACTGACATCACTGAAGATGATGATGCACTAACATGAAAATAAACAAATTTCCCAAGTTTATTTAAGCTTCACTAGAAACATGAGGTAGGCATGGAGGGGGGAAATATTCAGTGTTTACCAACTGAAAAAGGACAAAATTGATAACATTTTTCTTACAGGTTCTGAAAAGACAACAGAAAACAACAAGGACAATAATGAGTGTGTAGTGGTTCTGTACCTGACAGCCATAATCCAAAAGAAGCTGTAATATGTCCAAGTTTTCATTTTCAATGGTAATGGTTATAGCATTTCTCCCAAGCACATCCACACAATTTATATTCATGTCACCTGAGCTGTTCTGCTCCAAGAGTTTCTTAACCATGTAATAGTCACCTAAAAAAGCAACGTATGAATATGTCTTAGTATTTTGGATTCATTTTTACTGGTATATATTCTGACATTTAAATAAAACATAATACTTTTATCAATTAGAATAAAATGCAAAGCATATGCTCATTGTAAAATTTAAGATGTCATTAAATATGAAATACTCTACCAGTAATCCATGACATCTGACCAAAAATATTTAACATAAAAGGCTGCTAGGCAGCCAAACTAGAAACGGGTTATTCACATTAGATGTGATATTAAACAACACAATTAAGTCACTCTTCCCCACCCCTCATAAATCCCAACTCAGGAAAGCATTTAAGCACATGCTTAGATCTATCTCTATTCAGGAAAGTATTAAGTGTCTGCTTATGTCATAGAATCATAGAATATCAGGGCTGGAAGGGACCTCAGGAGGTCATCTAGTCCAACCCCCTGCTCAAAGCAGGACCAATTCCCAACTAAATCATCCCAGCCAGTGCTTTGTCAAGCCAGGCCTTAAAAACCTCCAAGGAAGGAGACTCCACCACCTCCCTAGGTAACGCATTCCAGTGCTTCACCACCCTCCTAGTGAAATAGTGTTTCCTAATATCCAACCTAGACCTCCCCCACTGCAACTTGAGACCATTGCTCCTTGTTCTGTCCCACCAGTACAAACTCATGTATAAGTGCTTTTCAATAATCAGGGCAATGATGCCTATGTACTGTATGAGAACAAAGAGGAGCCAAATCAGAGTTTGTCTCTTTTTCAATGCTATTATTTAAATGGCTCTTTTCTAATTTGACTCTTATTTGTCAGTGTTACAAGTTTTTAATTATAAAAAGGGGGACACTCAGATTATGATGCAGCATTATTGAACCCACTCACCCCTGATTCACACAGGAGGAAGAAACCAGAGAGAAGTAATACAGAACTTCCCCTGGGACTCAGCGATCCATGTTATAGGACAGGAAGCAAATTATTACGTGCAGGGGGCCTCCACAAGGTGCAACACACAGGAAAGTATGGTCCCTGCCTGGAACTGATTACAAGCCATAAGAAGTCTCCCGCTTTCCCTCGTCTCTACTTTTATTGCCTTTTATGTCCTTTATATTTCCCTGTGTGTAAAAGTTCATATGATGGATAGTTGTCTCCTCTGCCTGCTAACTTCCGCTGTGGTACCCGGGCTTCTTTCATTGTGTTCTAATGTAAACATCCAATAACAATTCAATGGGCAAAAAAAGGTCTCCGGCTAAAGAGGCGCTTTGTGCAGCCTGCGCTGCGAGGAGACCTTTGACCACAGCCCTAACCTAATTATACCTGAAATCCCACTGGGAGAAAAGGGATTGCGGGGCCTGAGCCCGACTCCCCTCCGGGCCGGCTCCCCGCCCAGCGCAGCTCCCGGCGGGCAGAGACCCGGGGCAGGCCACCTCCGGCCCCCGAAGAGGGGCGGAGTCCCGCCCCCGTGACACACGACCCCGATAGCGGCCTTGGGGCGGGCGGCGGCCGCACCTTTGTCGCAGGCCAGCAGGAAGAGCTTCTCGTCCAGGGTGGTCTCCTCCTTCACCTGCCTCACGTCCTTCAGCGCCAGCAGCTTGTTGGGGGAGGCCGAGGCGGACGGGTCCGCGCTCTGGTACAGGGCGGCCATGGCGCCGGCTCCGCCAGGCCCATCGGGGTGCGGGGGGCCCGGACCAGTCAGCCCCGGGGTTCCCCACGCAGTGGACCGCCGGCAGCCGCCTCGCACCGGGACAACGGTGCCGTAAGCCCGATACTGTCAACACTGAGCAGGGCGGGGAGCGACCTCTCGCCCCGCTGGCTGCGCAGGCGCGGATGGGAGCCACGAGCTCCGGAGGGGCTGGGCCTGGCTGGAGGACGCGGGGCGGGACCCGGGACTCCGGGAGGCCAGACTCCGATGCCTCAGGCTGTGGCAGCTGCTTCTCCCCTTCCCTCCGCTCAGCGGCGCTGGCCGCCCGGGGAGCCTGCCCCCGCCTTCCCGCCAGGTGCATTAACGGCCCCGCGCCATGGCCGTTCTCCTTGTTTTCCTAAGCCCCCCCTCCTCCTCATCTCGTTGTTCCTTCTGAGCCCCTTTCCCCCCCCTTGTTCCCAGGGGTGTCCCTTGCTCTGGGGCAACGGGGGCAGGTTTTATCCAGCCTGAGAGGCGGCCTCAATGCTGGGGTAGCACTGATGATGGTGTTAGTTATTGCTATCTCACAATTTTATCATGAGTCTTATGTGGTGATTTTCTTCACCCTGCCCCCCCCCCCCAAGAAGTCACGTGATTTCATGAGACGCTCAGCTTTCATTTTAAAAAACAGTATATTTTTAGCCCTCATGGTTGTGGAGAAAACATGAGTCCTAAAAGCACTTCAAAAAAGAACTTTAAAATGTGGGGGGATTTTTTAATGCACACTCTGTCCATGGCGCAAGACTGCCTTCCTCCCTTTGTATCAGAGGGGTAGCCTCTGCTATGTACATTGGCCAAACTGGACAGTCCCTACGTAAAAGGATAAATGGACACAAATCAGATATTAGGAATAGCAATATACAAAAACCTGTAGGAGAACACTTCAGTCTCCCTGGACACACAATAGCAGATTTAAAGGTAGCCATCCTGCAGCAAAAAAACTTCAGGACCAGACTTCAAAGAGAAACTGCTGCGCTTCAGTTCATCTGCAAATTTGACACCATCAGCTCAGGATTAAACAAAGACTGTGAATGGCGAGCCAACTACAAAAGCAGTTTCTCCTCCCTTGGTGTTCACACCTCAACTGCTAGAAGAGGGCCTCATCCTCCCTGATTGAACTAACCTCGTTATCTCTAGCCTGACTCACTCTTGCTTGCATATTTATACCTGCCTCTGAAAATTTCCACTACATGCATCTGACGAAGTGGGTATTCACCCACGAAAGCTCATGCTCCAATACGTCTGTAAGTCTATAAGGTGCCACAGGACTCTTTGCTGCTTTTCCTCCCTTTGATCACGCATCTGAGCAGAATTCCTCTGGGCTGACTCCACTGGCTCCTTAGATCCCTTTGAGGAGCAGTGGGTGCTGTCTGGGGTTCTCTGCTCAGCATAGGCATTGACTCTGTGGGTGCTCCAGCCCTGGAGGCTCAGAGCACCCATGGAAAAAAATTAGTGGGTGCTTAGCACCCACTGGCAGCCAGCTCTCCGCTAGCGCCTCCTATCTGCCTTTGGCCCTACCAATCAACTCCTCCCCTGCTCCCGGATCAGCTGTTCCCAGGTGTGCAGGAGGCAAGGGGCGGGAAAGGGAGGAGCTGGGACTGGTATGCCTGGGGGAGGGAGCGGAACTGGGTGGGAAGAAGCTGGGATGGTGTGGGGAGGGGGCTTGGGCGGAACAGGGGTGGGAAGAAACAGGGTGGGGGTTTGGGGAAAGAGGCCTGGTGGGGCGGGGCCTGGGGTGGAGTGAGGCTCGAGCACCCCCAGGGCCCGGAGGAAGCCAGTGCCTGTGCAGCACGGTGTCCCCCTCAGGTTCCCTACACTTTGGTTCCTATTTTCTAATTAATTGACCTCCGGAATCATTTAAGCCCCAGGTTCAGTTGCTCCTCCCCTTAGGCTGGAGGATGGACCTTCAGGCACTCCCAGATATCAATAGGTAGTTATCCCTAGAAATCATGTTCACAACAATCAGAGTAACTCTGCACACCTGGGAGTGAGCCATGCAGGACTGTCATGTTTTTTCTAGTGTGACAGTTTAGCAATAGTTTATAACAGACAGTGGGGCATACAGAGCAACCCGTTGTCAGAGAAGCCTGGTCAGAAAAATACTTTTTTCACTTTTGAAGCTGTGTATCTCAGGAAGAAGGATAATGGTATTGTAGAGCATTAGTTCCTGTAGTATGGAGGCTGAGCAAAAAAGACTTAGATTCAATCTATCTTAAATAAAGACTTCCAGTCATGAACTAACTTGTCTCCAGAACCATGCTAAGTGCATCAAATCTTGTGTCAGAAGATTCAGTTCCCTGGCCATGGGTTGGATGTCTTCTAATGCAACTGAGGATAGAAATAATAATAGAATAATATTGGCAAATATTAACAGCTTTATTATGGTCCAGGTGGGCATTGCCCCTATGAATCACCAAGCAAAGAAAGGCTCTGTAACCCATCACTAATCCTCTGACAGCCATTCAGTATCACCTTATATAATATCATCTAGTTTGAGGTGTCCTCTTTGTGTCAGTATGCTGTGTCAGATATTAGATTACTAATATTTAGTCTAATCCTGTTTGTTCATTGTTCCTGTATCTTGCTTTTAGTTGCTTTTATTGTTTTCATGTTTTGGGAGACAATGTGGCTGTTTTTACTTTTTTTTCACTCCACAATTAGTAGGTATTTAGTTGAGTATTCTGCCTTATTTGGCTGCTTTTAAAATAATTTTATTAAATATTGAAGTACCATAAGTGTTTGGCTAACATTTATAGGTACAGACAAAGGAATACAAATGCTCATTTCCAAAATCATAATCAAATAACTATTAGTCTTTCTCCGTGCAGAAGATACTGCAATGTGTTGTTTTTTGTATGTTTCCAGGAAGAATTTCTTGCAATCAAGGCACCCTTTCTATGACATTGATCTTCTCTGACAGAAAAATAGATATACACGTGTTCATTTAAAATAAAATTCCAAAAGAAAATGCAGTACATATAAGCTGAGTCCCCAAACTGGACTGGCCAGCTCTCTTTATTGCTTTCTGATACAACAATTTATGAAAGTTCAGATATTTACTCCAGCTGCAAGGGTTAATATAAACACAGATCTTCCAGTAATGTCCATGGTACACATTTGCCTTACTATTTAGTGTTATTCTTCACTTTGATGAAAGTTTGTTGTTTTGTAAAAAAACAATCTGATACATTTAGGTGTTTACTCCCATATGAAAGATTCAACAACATTATGAATAACATCACTAAATTCTAGACAATATGGTGATCACAGGTTCAAACTAGCTTCAATAAAGTCAGTGGCAAGACTCTCATTGACTTCAGCAGGAATTGGATCAGGCCTTCAGAGAATAGGGCAATGATGCTGATCCTTGTTCAGTTTAGGGAAAATATAACAGTGTTCAAATGGACTTTCACACAGCTATGACTACACGTAAACAACACCCACAAAAATATATATTCACAGAAGATCCTGAAATAACATATTTTAAAAGCTGCTGATCCTTTTCACTCTATGAAAACAGTATGAATCAGGCTTGATTTACAAGATTTTTTTTAAAAGCAATACAAGAATGTAACCTTAATTCGGTAATGAACATATTCTGATAGAACTATTAACGCATAAATAATTCATGTAACATGAAATTGTTTGAATGAAACCTTCACTAGTATAAACAAGTTATTAAAATGTAATTAATGAATATATATCCATACTTGCACATACAAATTTATCTCTGTTTTTATATCTACTAAACTTCAGAATCTTGTAAACTGTGAGGCATTTATCGTGTTTAACATGGCAGAAACTTTTATTAAATGTCTTAATTATTTTATTTTGTTCAGTCCTCTTCCCATCAAGCACGCAAACACTGTCATAACCATTTTTGGCTTCACTTCTACTAGATCATCTGGCAGTGCATAAATACGAGCACCAATCTTTCGAGCAACTGAAATGGCATATCTTGAAAAAACAAGAGAGAAAATAATATTATTTTACTAGTATCTATTCCCTATGTTTTGAGACATACCATAACTATTAACACATTTTGATAAAAAGGTAAAATATACACATCCAGTCAATATTTCAATGTTGGGGAAATTAATGTAATTGACTGAACGAAAATAAGTATTAACAGAGACATTTATTTTGCTTGAATCTACTGGAGCATTTATTTTTCTTAACTATTAGGAGCTATGTCAGACTATTAATATAAGAACTTCAGTGGAGTTGCCAGTTTACAGCAGCAGTGAATTTGGCTTGGTATTTTCAATATGCTAGAAAAAATGTCTAGAAATTTTACCATTTAAAATGTAATTTATCCATATTTAAAAAACAAATGTAGGTGAATATAATTCTCTTTTGATGTATCAGTAATTCAGAAGCTTGATTTCTGTGCAAGAAAATATAAAATATGATTTAAACACTTACTTAGCATTATTCAATTTGTCTTGTTCAGAAAGATCTTCTCTCTTGACCATTTCTTGACGAATTGCTTTTGGTGCAATGGCATCTATTAAATCTAGTACAGGTAAACTAGTGCTAATAGATTTGTCCTAAAAGAAAGAGTTAATGAATTAATTAATATTAATCAATAGGTTTCCTTTAATTCTCCTAGTAGTATTTTTATAATGCAAACTAAAAATTTATGGCAACCTAATTTTTTTTTAAAGATAGCATCATACTTTATTCTTCTACTTTATTTTCTCTTTTTACTACTTAAAGGCCCAATCCTGCTTTCCTTGTCTGTGGAAAACTTACAGTAAAGTCAGCAGGAGTTTTCAAAGATCAGGTTAATAATCCATATAGTTTCTCTCTTTCAGAACTGGTACTGCTAAACAAATATGAACAGTTTGCTTCATTTAGTGACACCAGTATTGTTATTAACAGCAGTGACTGATCTTTTAGATTGTAAGATCTTCAAAACAGCCATGGTTTTAATTTTTATGGGCACATTGTTGATGCTAAAAAAACTAAATTTCTTTTTCCTAGTTAATAATCCTTAGTTAGTTCATTACAGAATTGGCCACAAGCAATGTCTTTGGTGTGAACTTTGAGGTACAAATTGACCTGGGGTAAGTGACTGGTCTCTTGGGACTTAAAGCAAACTGAATCTTTTGTGATCTTTGCTGTATAGCAACCAAG